CCCCACCTGCTACTAAGGAGGCTGTCGAGGTCCTGAACCGGTGCTTGGCCGCTGTGACGGTCTGGATGGGGCCGAACAAATTGAAATTGAATCCAGACAAGACAGAGATACTCCTGGTTAGTCGCAAGGCCGAACAGGGTATAGGGTTACAGCCTGTGTTGGACGGGGTCGCACTCCCCCTGAAGACGCAGGTTCGCAGTTTGGGTGTGATCCTGGACTCATCGCTGAGCCTGGAACCCCAGGTTTCGGCGGTGACCAGGGGAGCATTCGCACAGTTAAAACTCGTGCGCCAACTGCGCCCGTACCTTTGGAAGTCTGACTTGGCCACGGTAGTCCACGCTCTGGTTACATCCCGTTTAGACTACTGCAACGCTCTCTACGTGGGGTTGCCTTTGAAGACGGCTCGGAAGCTCCAATTAGTCCAACGCTCGGCAGCCATGATACTAACAGGAGCGGAGCGCAGGGAGCATACAACTCCTCTGCTGCACCAGCTCCACTGGCTGCCGATCTGCTACCGGGCTCAATTCAAAGTGCTGGCGTTGGCCTTTAAAGCCCTAAACGGTTCTGGCCCAACTTACCTATCCGAACGTATCTCAGCCTATCAGCCCACCAGGACCCTAAGATCTTCTGGGGGGGCCCTGCTCTCTATCCCGCCTGCTTCACAGGTGCGGCTGGCGGGGACGAGAGACAGGGCCTTTTCTGTGGTGGCCCCGCGGCTATGGAACGCCCTTCCCATGGAGGTAAGATCAGCTCCCTCATTGATGGTATTCAGGAAAAGACTAAAAACCTGGATGTTCGAGCAGGCGTTCGGTTAACTCAGTGCAATAAGTGTAATGATTGAAGGACTGGCAATCTGGACAACGAAACTGGATCACGATTTTAGTCAAGAGATGAATTGGATTGTTTATTGATATATGTATTGTGGATTATGTTTTTATGCTTTTAAACTGTATACTGTTGTTTGTTATAAGTTGTTGTAAACCGCGTTGAGTCGCCGGTTAGGCTGAGAAACAGCGGTATACAAATATAGCAATAAATAAATAAATAAAGTTAGAATGTTCCTTCTTATATTGCCCTTATCCTTAATGGCGCTATACGACTTACACACTTTACTTATTAGCCCTATTCTCTGAATTGTTGCGCACCAGACCACCCACCCATATCGAGACTTGAATTATGCTATTGTTGTGGGTTTATGCTTGTTTAATATTTGGTTATAATGTTGTGTTCTGTCATTTTAAATTGATGTTATGCATTCTAATGTGCTATGTTTTTAACTCTGTTGATTGGGTTTGGCCCCATATAAGCCGCCCCGAGTCCCTTCGGGGAGATGGAGGCGGGGTATAAAAATAAAGTTCTCATTATTCTGACACAAAACCACACCACATCACAGCAAATGAGATCTATATGCTGGATTTCACATCACAAAATCACAAGCCGAATACTTCCCAAGCATCTAGGACTGTGTGATGTATTATTATTATTATTATTATTATTATTATTATTCCTGTGATAATATCTCTCCAGAAATGTCTTGGGCTTTCAGCATGACTGTATGACCAGCATTTTATTTTTGTGGTTCTTCACTTTTGTGGGGGCTCTGATCTCCCAAATTAAGCAAATGTGAGAGTTCACTATAGTCTTTGAGATGCTGAAGGAGTGGTGCTTTTACCTTTGGAGCTGTAATCTTCCTTCAGTAGTCTGAGCCAGCCTGAAGAGAAAGAAAATATTAGAAGGTTGTCCAGCCACACAAAAGCCATCCACAATCCTTTCATGGCTAGGCGGCTGCTGTTGTTCTAATAGAAATGGAAAACAGCCAACTTGCCTGCCAGAAGAAAATTAGTTTTGCAAGAAGCAGAGAGGACTAAAATCTTTTTTATTTGATGTGCCAGCATTTTAAATGTTTATTTGCAGTAGCAGCAGAGAATTTCAAAACAAGATATTTCTCAGTTATAGCCCAAAATGCTAAAACCTGCTTTATTCTCACAAAAACACTTATTTAGTTGTATTTTTATCCCATTTTCCTTCAAGTAAGGTGACATACGTATTTTCATGCTATGGGATCCTCATAGTGCTCAGGGAAGGTAGATGGAGCTGAGATAATGACTTATCCACAATTATTCTTCCAGATGGGTAAACCAGAGTGGAAATGCAAAAGATATAAATAGTGCATTGAAAGATTTGAGAGAAATGGCACTTTCACCTATCTCAACAACCAACAAATAGATCTAGTTTACCAATCAGTCAATGCCTCCTGTTTGGACCACTGCTAACGACAAAGACCACCCGTAGTCAGGGGAAAAAACAGCAGTCATAATAGAGCTCTGATTGATGCTAAAGTTAGAGTAGTGTTGGGAACAGGAGACATGGTTTGTACCTTTCAGTGCTTCCTTCTTGAGAAGCAACACAAACAGGATAGAGCAGAGTCCAAAGAGAGTGATCATCCAGGCCAATATCCAGCGTGTTCGGCAATCTGCCCACAAACATGGAGAAGGATAGAAATCAGTAGGCAATATTGGTTTCCAGGCTAATTACTTATTATTATTATTATTATTATTATTATTATTATTATTATTATGACACAAAAACACAGTATGTCACAGCAAACAAGATCTGTATGCTGGATTTCGTATCACAAAATCACAAGTCGAACACTTCCCAAACGTCTAGGACTGTGTGATGTACTTTCGAATGATGCATGCAGATTCAAGTAAGGTGGCCTTTTGCAGTTGACAGATCATGATTTTGTCAATGTTTATTGTTTCCAAATGCCGGCTAAGATCTTTTGGCACTACACCCAGTGTGCCGATGACCACTGGGACCACCTGGACTGGTTTATGCCAGAGCCTTTGCAGTTCAATTTTGAGGTCCTGATAACGGCTGAGTTTTTCCTGTTGTTTTTCCTCAATGCAACTGTCACCCTGTATGGCGACATCAATAATCCAAACTTTTTTCTTTTCCACAATTGTGATGTCTGGTGTATTGTGTTCCAAACCTTTGTCAGTCTGGATTCGAAAGCTCCACAGTATTTTTGCGTGTTCATTTTCCACGACCTTTGCAGGTCTATGATCCCACCAGTTCTTTACTACTGGCAGGTGGTACTTTTGGCATAAGTTCCAATGAATCATTTGGGCCACAGAGTTGTGCCTCTGTTTGTAGTCTGTCTGTGCAATTTTCTTGGAACAGCCGAGGATATGATCCATGGTTCCATCAGCTTACTTGCACAGTCTGCATTTTGGGTCATCAGCTGATTTTTCAATCCTGGCCTTAATGGCATTTGTTCTGATGGTTTGCCATGGCTGCATCCTATGAAATCCTGGGGCTTGCAGGCTGGTGAAGCACTAGAGGTCTCTGGCTGAGATGTCTCCCAAAATAGCAAAACCCAGATTCATAGGATGAAACTATGGCATTTAAAGTAAAATCATAATACTGTAACTGTGTACTGTTGGGCAAGGTCATATCTCCAAGAAAGAATTCATGTTGCTCCAGTCTCTGCCTTGGGACACACTTACACTTCTCCAGTGAACAGGTCCAGAGGGTGCCATTTTCCCTATCCTCAGCTTGCCACATCTGTGAAGAAATATATAGATAATGGGTTTGCCTCCCAAAAGATCACGAAATCACAGAGGTAGAAGAGATAACCTTTAACAATAGAAGTGCCCACTGAAGTGCCAATCTACTTGATGGCAAACACCAAACCCACTACAAATGCATGGGCAACATACAGTAAGAATATTTGCCATGGCTATTACAAGCAACCTTTCCCTGATGCAATCATTTGCAAATTTTGCTCTTTGGGTATTTTGGGCTTCATCTCCCAGAATTCTTGGCTATGCTGGCTGAGGTTTAGCCAAGAAAAATGCCAGAGGACCCAAGTTTCGGAATCATTGCTCTAATGTGTTGTACTACAATCCAACCTATGTCCTTACACTCACCAGCATGCACTCTCCTGATTGCAGATCATTCTGTAGGGCTTCCTTCAGGTTCCCATTTCTCTGTGGAGAAGGAAAAGCAAATGCAGTTACTGTCGCAAAGGTAACAGTTGAGCTACATACTCAACACAATTCAGCGCTGGCAGCCTTTCTGTTAGAGAGTTGCCTGCTTCAGAAAGTAGGTTGGGCTGCCATCCTGCTGATCAATCCCAAACAGAGTATGTCTCCAATATAGAAAGAAAAGGCAGCAGCATCACCTTCCTGACATGCTTGTTCCTAATAAATTGATATTCTGATAATAATTGGCACAGGCATGCCGCCTAAACATGCTGAGATACTAGAACAGCTAATGCTAAAATACAGATATGTCCCATTCTGCTTGTAACATATTTATAATGATGGATGCTGTTAAGAACTAACAATGTTCAGTTATATTCAATCTGGAATGATAATAGATGATATTACCAGGGGCGGCTCAACCCATTACGCAAAGTAAGCATTTGCAGTATAGTTGATTTTCCCCAGGGGCGCTCTTGAGGCACTCTTGGGGAAAAATAGACCTTGACATATGTGAGTTGTAGTTACTGGGATGTATAGTTCACCTACAATCAAAGAACATTCTGAACTCCACCAATGATGGAATTGAACCAAATAGAGCACACAGAACTCCCACGCCGAGCACAAAATATATATCAGTGACTGGTTGGGGAGGGGGGGGGGAATACTGTTTGCTTACCGTTGAAAATTACCTAGGGCTGCCTCTGGATATTACATTCTGAATGTATCAAGTTAGATCATTAAGAGTACACAAGGAATTCTATACAGGCAATCCCCAAGTTATGAACAAGATAGGTTCTGTAGGTTTGTTCTTAAGTTGAATTCGTATGTAAGTCAGAAAAAAATGGCTCATGGAAACAAGGACTGGTAATAAAGCTTCAGTGGAAACATCTTTTCCCCCATGATACATGAGTGAATTTGCCTTCCTAAAGGTTGATTTCTCCCACTTTTTGTTGTCTCCTCCCGTTATTAACTATGAGTAGTTTGTAAGTCAGCTGTTTATAACTCAGGGACTGCCTGCATATGAAAGTCTTTGTGAAATGTCTGCACATTTTCTGAACAAATATGATGGCAATTATGGGAAAAATAAAGGAACTCCATGTGGCCAGTTACTGGTCAAAGGACATTTAGTATAATGCCAATTTTTAAACTTTCTTTGTGTTTATAAATACATCATAACTGTACCCTCAATTTGCTTCTGACACAATAAATATGGGAAAAATCTGAAGATGAATGATTAGAGTCTACAGTTACAATGGTATTTTTAACCTATGTGGTAGCAAGTGCAAAGATTTATAAATAGGTAGATAAATTCCTCATGAAAATATAATATCTTGATGACTGTGTAATTTGATACAATTATGTCTTATGCACATTATTATGAAATAAGGAAACTAAGTGCCCAGACATTGCTACCTAAGTGTTTATATATCTATGAATATCTATAATGAATAACTCAAAAGAGTACCAAAGGAGCCTGCTGAATTCCTGTGTAAACGTCCTGAAATTCCAATGCTTAAGAACGCTTGTGTGGAATGTTGATGTTAATGCAGCTTGTCTGGTTTAACCACCACAGTGAGTTGGGCAACTAAGGTGATCAGAAGTTGATCATTGGACCCCAAGCAGAAACCAGAATTAACTGTGAAAGGGGCCCTCAGCTCCTCAGTCTAAGACAGAGGTATCAAACTTGAGGCCTTACAGACATTTAAAACTCCAACGCACAGAATCCCTAGCCATTGGTCAGGAATTCTGAGAGCTGAAGTCCAAAACACCTGGAAGGTCACAATTTTGACACCACTGATCTAAGAGATAGGGACTGGAAAACAAATTTGTTCTACTGACAACATAATTTATGTCACTGAGGCTCCTTCTACACAGTTGTATAAAACCCACATAATCTGTTTGGAACTGGATTATATGGCAATATAGACTAAGAAAATCCAGTTTAAATCAAATAATGTGGCAGTGTAGAAGGGCAGCATGAAAGAGCAGCTAACTATTTCTTATTCACTTTGCTATAATTCATTATTTACTGCTAGGGACAGGAAATTGTCCACTTCATGCAAAAATGAATTGACTAGCTGCAAATGTGACGAATCTTGATTTGGACGTCGTTGGGGAGAACAATTTGCAGCAAAATGTCTGAAATATATAGGCCTCATCACACTAGAGGATGAATCCACTTTAAATCGCCTTGAGTCACTGATTAAAGGCTGAGAAAGGCAGTATACAAATACAGTAAATAAATAAATAAATCTGGTCTCTGCCTCCTGCAGAATTCTGGTGTTTGTAGTTTAGGGAGGAGCCTTTAAGAGCCTCACTAAACTACAAACCCCAGAATTCTTCAGGAGGCAGAAACTGGATTTAAAGTGGATTCATTCTCTAGTGTGATGAAGTAATAAGTAATCTGGCAACCCCCCCCCCCCCCCCAAAAAAAAGACTGTCCTTACTATGCTGATAGACTGAGTTATGTGCACCCAGGTACCCTGCTCCAACACATGAACCGAAAAGTTCCCTTGGGAATCCAGTGTTGTCCAAAACAGCAAATCCTGCTCCAATGAGTGGCAGCTTTTTATTTCTAGGAGAGAGAAAAAAGAACAGTTAAAGGATAGCTGTTGGATTAGTTTGTGGCAGAGGGTTTCAGTCCCTAAACTACAAATCTAGACTAGCCCCTTGATTACCACCAGACTATGACACCCAGCCAAGATACTATTAGCCATGCTGGGTATTATTATTATTATTATTATTATTATTATTATTATTATTATTACAGCAGCTTTAGGGCCCTTCCACACTGTTGCGCTAAGCATATTTCCATCAAGTCCAATGCAGAAGGCACAATAACATTGCACCCAGGCAAGAGGGAAAAGAACAGAAAAACTTTACTCTTATCAGTAGAGTTAAAACATAAACTTGCAGTGTTTCAAACAGTGCAACAAACTTACATAGTCTTTGTAAGCAATACAGAAGAAGGTTTCTTCATCTTCATCCAATGAGAGAGCAGTAGAAATGGTTGAGCAAAATGCCTGAGCAAAGGCTCCTCAGAGCAAAAGCTGAACTATATTCTAAACCATACAGTTATACCCCACTGGGTGTGGTCCAAACTTACTAGTTGACCTACATTAGCAGCTGCACATAATAATTAACAGCATAAGATTTTCTTTAATGCACACACATACTTGATCCTGTTACGACTTACTGTAACACACACTATCACATAGCCCAGTATATCAAGGCAGAAAATCCCATAATTTCTGCTTTGAATTGGGTAATTTGAGCCCACACTGCCATATAGTCCAGTTCAAAGCAGGTAATGTGGGATTTTAGTCAGCTGTGTAAAAGAGGCCGTAGTCCAAAAGAGCTAGAAAGCACCAGGTTGAGGAAGGCTGCTCCAGGCTCCCATACTCTCCAATTATCCCAATTTGGTAAGGATAATGCAGGTTAATATTGTATTACTCCAATTTCTGAGCGGCTTGTAAAATGCCCCAGTTTTCTCTTCTCCTCCCATTTTCCCTTTTTGCCCCCAGCTTACGTCAATTGTTGGAAATTGAATCAAAATAATAATTGTTCTCCACTCAGCAAGAAGGAGAGGACGGGACAATGCCTTCTGCTTCCCAGGAGGCTCAGGCCAAAGTAAACCGCTGCAGCTTTTCCTAGCTTTTGTGTTCTTCTTCATTAAGAATGTTTGCATTCTTGACCACAGCCTAAGGTTGCTTGATCACAAGTCCCAGCTTCCATGTTGAATTTAGAGAGCACAATAAAACAATTCACTTGTTGAATTTAGGAAGCAGAATAATGCAAAAATGTGCCTCTTTTGATTGTACTCCATCCCCCATCTCACCCCTGCCACTGGGAGGTTGGAAACCACAGGTCAGGGCTATATGTTCCAGCAAAGCTTCAAGTTCAGCACCTATCTTGTATAGCAGTCATTGACCTGGTGGCCAGTACAATAATATAAATTGTGCTGAAGAGTAGCTGATATTGTCTTTGGTTCCTTCATGCCAGCACCTTTTCTATCATCCCCATGGTCTCTTGTTGTAGGCAAAGGGACCCAAATTAGTCACAGTTGAAAAAAGATGTCACCTGACCATAACACTATGTAACTACATTTGAAAAATAAATTCTGTTCCTGTTTTGAAATTATTATTTCCTGTTTAATTGTGAAATACTTACTTTGAAAGTAGTTGTTATACTCTGGAAACTTCATTTTTGTGGCTGCCACAAACTATGTTGTATTGGTTGAAACTCTATGAGATATTCATTGAAAAATTGTAGCAAAATGTGCTGCGAGATCTCCCACAAAAACAAAGTTTTTGCAGTTTAATAAATTTTTCCCATGTTTTTATGATAGAACCAATTAGGAAATGGCATTTATAACTCAGGAACAAAAATCATGTTCCATAGTGTTAGGGACATTTTGAGAACAGTAGTCTTAAAAGAAAAACTTAATCTGCAAAGATCTGTGTTTTGTTTTTTGAATGATAGGCACACACGGACTTTGGTATGAGAGACCTTTTGGCCTATGCTGTGTTTCCAATCTGGAGGGGCCCTCTAGACTTGCAATTTGTGCAAGAGATCAAAAACTCTGTTCCTTCCAATATAAACAACAGACATTGGCAGGTGGATGTGTGTGCCTGAATAAGTACAATTGAAATAAGAAGTTCACCAGAGGGCAAAGCCTCTATGAGTCTACATAGACCCGTATCTGGATCAGATGAGTCCATATCTGTGATTCACACTTTTTAAAAAATGTAATTAGATTTAGCTAATTAAAGCTATGTTACCACTCTGCCTGAGAGCAAGGACCATATTTATCCTTTAACCCACTTGTTCTCAACCTTCCTAATGCCACAACTCCTTAATACAGTTCCCTGTGCTGTGGTGATCCCAAACCATAAAATTATTTTAATTGTTACTTAATAACTGTAATTTTCCTCCTGTTATGAATCGTAATGTAAATATCTGGTATGGAGGATGTATTTTCACTGGACCAAATTTGGCACAAATACCCAATATGCCCAAATTTGAAGACTGGTGGGCATGGGGGGATTGATTTTGTCATTTGGGAGTTGTAGTTGCTGGGATTTATAGTTCACCTACAATCAAAGAGAATTCTGAACTCCATCAAGGATAGAATTGAACCAAATTTGGCACACAGAACTCCCTTCACCAACAGAAAATACTGGAAGGGTTTGGTGGGCATTGGCCTTTAGTTTTGGAATTGTAGTTCACCTACTTCCAGAGAGCACTGTGGACTCAAACAATGATGGATCTGGACCAAACTTGGCAGGGTTACTCAATATGCCCAAATGTAAACACTGGTGGAGTTTGGGGAAAATAGACCTTGACATGAGGGAATTGTAGTTGCTGGGATTTATAGTTCACTTACAATCAAATAATATTCTGAACCCACCAATGATAGAATTTAGCCACACTTCCCACACAGAACCCCCATGATCAAGAGAAAATATTATGTTTTCTGATGGTCTTTGACTACCCCTCTGACACCCCTTCACAATCCCCCCAGGAGTCCCAACCCCCAGGTTGAGAAACGCTGCTTTAACCTTTGTAGGGCCTTCTTGGAGACTTTTTTCCAGATGACGTTTTCCTGAATAATCTACTTTTAGAAGTGTATAAAGGCACTCACCTTCCTGCAGGCAGCTCTGGAGGTAGGTGCTTCCTTTGCTAATTACCTACATGAAAAGAGAAAATATGAATCAACAGGGAAAAGAGCTCAGCCTAACATAAGATGGGACACAGTTGTAGTTTCGGTTTATGACTACTTCATCAGATGCATACATTGCATGCCTCTGATGATGTAGACTTAAGTCCCCAGAACTTTTATCTCTTTTAATTTCAAAGATGTGGCAAGATCCTTTTGTAAGGGAAGTGTGTGTGTGCGTGTGTGTAACACAAATAACTTTTACTAGTTCCTTTCAAAAATTTAATAGGAGCATTCAAGGCATTTTAAAGGTATTTTGGCATTGCCTCCCAATTGTATGCTGTCCTCTTATCAAGACAACCCATGCCATGAAACAAAAGTAAGAAAAAGTAATTTAAAAAAAGCACAAGTACCAAAAGTAATGTTTCAATATTGTACTGAGTGATACTGTTGGCCTTCTGTATCCATAATTTCTGCATCCCTGGATTCAACTATGAAAATGAAACTTTATATATCGCCCGCCCTATCTCACCAAAGGGACTCAGGGCGGCTCACAATAAAATATACAATGGCAAACATTCAATGCCGACAGTAATATATAAGCAAATCAACAAACCGATCAAGAACAACTCAATAAATTATTAACCAACATAAACGAACAAGACATAACATAATCCACATAATTACTAACATATAAAAGCCTCAAAATATCCTTTAAAAATGTCTAAAATTAGGCTAAAATTGTTTGGGGAGAGATGGAAAGCAGCAGCTTACCAGGGTGGCTGCTAGCAGCCAGGTAAGGTGCCAACAGATGTACTAGACTATTGATTTGAAAATCTTATTTTAAAAATCCGAAAAGAAAAGCTTGATCTTGCCATTTGATATAAGCACATAATTTTACTATGTTGATGTGTATAATAGGACTTGAGCACCCACAGATTTGGGTATCCACAGAGGTCCTGGAAGCAAACCACAGCAGATGCGAAGAGTTCACGTATAAAGTTCACTTTATAAGTACAATCACTTGTACTTGTACCAGCCCTGTAAATACTTCCAGGATTGAAATTCCTCTTTAAAAACTAACTTCAGATGTGTCTGGTACTGAAAGTTCAGCGGCTTGGATGATAAAATGAATGCAAACAGGATTCAGGCTGCATCAATGTGGGAAATAGATCTGAACTGTAGAAAAACTCCCTATCACAAAGAAAACAATTACTATAACATAGAGGCATAATTACTTTTTATAGGAGTTGCTAGGCAATCCGCATGAGTTCTCCTATTTGTATGGAGACACACACACAGTGACAGGAACAAAACTATGACAGGAGCACCAAAATTGTCTACCCCAAGAAATCATGGTCACAGAGATCTTTCACAGATAAAAGGAATTCAGTTTTCCCCTGCTGGTGTAAATCACATCAATGGCTCTTATTCCAAAGTTGCAATTATTAAATGCAGTGGGACTTTTCTGTGTGTGCCTTCAATATGATGATGGTGGTGGTGGTGGTGGTGATTTATTTGTACCCCACTACCATCTCCCTGAAGGGACTCGGAGTGACTCACAGAAAGCACTCGGCAGTGCAACAATATACAGATACAACAGAATACAGAAAAGTAAAAAATAATACAAATAAAAATTGATCTAATTATACTTAAAGCAGCAATAAAACCTCTATTAATTTAAAAGTTACTATAAAACTCAGCAAGCTACTAAATAGTGGCTGTATACGAAATAGCAGTTGTAAGTTGTCTGTAGAGTTGCAGTCATTCCATGAATTTCATGGGGTTTTCTTAGGACCTCATTCCATGAATTGGGGGGGGGGGGAGTTGGGGTAAGTGGAAAGAATCATTTTACTTCATTCCCTACCATCGAGGTCCATCTTCTGGGATGGCCTGCCATCCTACACTTTTTTCCTTGTCTTCTGCTATTTGGAGTCAGGAAGCACCAACTACTGAAAACATATTCTGGCCTCCGTTTCCATGCGTTGAGGAAACAGAGACTCATGCAGTCTCACTGGAAATGCCTTTCTGTCATGTGATGGCCTCTGTGTTTCCGAAACATATGGAAATGGAAGCCAGATTGGACGTGATGCAGTCCTTGGGCACAGAAGACTCAGAAGCAGTTTGCCATTTGTAAAAAAATGATTTGCTAGGAGCTACTTGTGAAATGGTGATTTCACCTTGTTGTATCAAAAAGGATATTTAAAAAGATATCTGTATTTATTTTAGATAAGTGTCCTTCAATGGGGTGACAAATATGCACACACTCTAGTCATTAGTGCAAGTATGTGACAGATAGATCAGTCCTTACATAAAGAGGAGAAATGATATAGGCATATACTATTTAATAGCATTGGTATAGATATCAGAGTATAAGTACCCACATCAGAGGAATATGGGTAGGAGAATTCACTACTTATTATTACACAGTGCAACAAAAAAAAATCTTGGTGTCTTGGTTTTTAGGCCTGTTCCTGGGTTTTTTTGGGCACTGAATCAGAAAATTGCATCTGATAGACCACATCAGCTCTAGTTTCTTAGATATGATTATCATGGTTTTCTATGGGCGAGCAGATGGCAAGTGGTAGATGTCATATATTCTGTATCTCAAAAACTAGAGTCGATAGGGGAAAACTAGTGCCATTTTTTGAATCAGCAGGTCAAGTATACCCAGACACAGGTTTAAAATGTGAGGCACCAAAATATACGTTGACCAATCTTATTAAGCATGCGTTGTTCATTAAAAGGAAGGCACATTTCTCCCATCCCTCAAAAACACACTTCACCCCTTCTGTACCTTCCTCAATATCTTTTCCCAGGAGGATACTTATCAATGCAGAGATTTCTGGATGTTAAAAAAAGACTAGTAAAAAAAACATGTTTTTTAGTCCACTGGTCTTGCAACTAGTTTGCATTAAACATGTGCCTTAAAATGTAAACCTATCTAATTTCCTAAATCAAAATATGAACTGAAACGAAGTTATCCTTTGGTAATTTGTACTTCTCTGACTTGTGTGATTTAGTTCTCCAGTAAAATATACATATAAAAATTGAGTTTGCTAAGTGGAAGGATAAACAAAAATGATGGAGTCATGAAGTCAAAATACAAAAGTGTATTCTATAATTACATATTTCTTTCTAAAAAGTGTGCAGGTTTATTTTAAGAGATCCTTAAAGGAGAAATGCACAGAGATTTTTCTAAGACTTTTTTTAAACACACACATCTACAAAGGATACACTAATAACCTGTTTTTCTGGTATCGTAATGATGGGGGGTCCTACCTGGATGCAAAGGTTGGGGTGGGGTCTCAGTCCTGGAAACTCCTGCAGCTCCTATGGGATTAGGGGAAAGTGTTTCATACTTAAACTTGTTCAAAGGCTGGGCTACTGCCCAAATTTTCCTGTGCACTAGATCTGTGCCTAAATTTTCACAGACACTCACATACAACACATCAATAAATGGCTGAATCAGGCTTCATTGAAGCTGCCCATCAAAGTTCCCCCAGTCCCCCATGAAGCACTGTTTGGGGGAGATGTCAGATGTGCAGGACTCCTTGTTTCAAAAGGCTTTATCTCATACCCAGAGCTTGAAGTGTTACTATTTTGGATCCTCCTTATTCTAGCACAGCACACAGTATACAGGACAAAAACAGGAAACGTGTGATGCTCTAGGATAGAGCTTCCCAAATGGTGTGTATTGCCCAAACTCCACTTGCCTAGTTTCCAACAGACCTCACAACCTCTGAGGATGTCTGTCATAGATGTGGGTGAAATGTCAGCAGAGAATGCTTCTGGAACATGGCCATACAACCCAAAAAACTCACAGCAACCCAGTGATTCCGGCCATGAAAGCCTTCAACAACACATAGTAGACATCCTTTATTTCCACATTTCCTTAAAAGTAAGGGCCATGTATTTCTGCAGCTGTCATCTCATGGAACCTACACATCCAGGTTGTACATTACTGTGTTTTGAAATAATGGTCCAATAACCTGAAGCTTCATCATTCTTCTAGGAATTTATACACAAAGCAATGCACTAGCACTGCAATTGTGATGTGCATCCCATTACCAGTTTGCTTACCCCCACCCAGGTGATTCTCCCATCCCTAGCTACTGATGGGTAAAACCTATCCATTGTTCTCAAACCCATGACATTTCCATCATCTCTATTAGTGTAACAGGTCCCTTTCATTTCTGTGCCAGCACGGCTGCAGTACCATGACGTCAAGGGGAAGCATTCTCCTCTCCCTGCTCCTGCTCACTATTCTCAAGTTGGCTGCTTTCGTTATATTTTTTATATACCTTCTATCTCTTTAAATGCTATTTATTTATCGTGTCAGTATCAACCAGACAACATTGGCAAGTGTCTGGTTGATTGTCTGGTTTTCTGGTCTTTAAATGCTAAAATTGTATAATTGCATTAAAAAATAAAAATAAAGGAATCTCAGTAATGCAAAAAGGGAAGGCTATGAGGGTGTGTGGAAATATGATTGCAGTACTGTAGAATGACTTAACTGGCACAATTGCAGTGTTGAAGAAAAGTGTTATCATATACTGAGGATATTCAATGATCTACACAACTTCTTCTTAAGCTTAGCTCAATGTTTGGGTCTCAAAAATTTGTCAACAGTAAAAAGTTTCTGAACCATCACCTGTTCTAGACATAACATGAATCTATTAGTATGCAAAGTTAACAGTAGATTCTGCTGAAAATGCTTCAGCTGTACTTCATAAAAATGGAAAATCAGTCTGCTTAGCAAGCCTTTATTATTAATAAATGTTTGATTTTATTCTTTAGGGCTGGGATTTAGTACCGCTAGTAAATCACCAACAGCGATAAGATCTACCAAGCAAAAGGTTGCCAGTTCAAAGTCCCAGGTCGGCATGAGCACCCGACTGTCAGCCCAGCTCACTGTCTACCTAAGCAGTTTGAAAACAGCTTAGAGCTGTAAGTAGAAAAAGTAGGTACCGCTTTAAAACAGGGGAGGTATTTTACATCACCATGAACAGAAAAATATCAGAAAATGCCCAGCGACCAAAAGGAAGGAGGAAGTCTTGATGGCTCTTCGTCATAGAGGATGGAGCGACAGCACCTCCCTGTGGCTGGATTTGAGTACAACCCCAAGGCACCAAAAACCTGGATGTCGACACAACATACCTCCTTTCTGTCTGTCTCTGTTCTGTCTGACCAAACGGCATTTAACATTTGCCTTGTATGTGTACTGTGATCTGCCCTAAGTCCTCTTAGGGAGATAGGGTGGAATATAAGTAAAGTGTTATTACTATTATATATTATTTTATATAGCTATATACATGAAGTCTTTGGCAGAAAGGGGTTGCAAGCAGAAAAGGTTTAAGAAGCCCTGATCTACACCAGCATGACTGTAGTGGAACAGCAAATTGGTATGATAAAATCTCTAGTTCCCCACATGTTGCTTGTACCTCACTCTCACCTCATTTCTTCCCATCTACTTCCCTTCTTTCTCTACTCACAATTCGAATGAGGCCCTTGCGCAGCTGAGGATGCAGGGGGTGGCAGGCAAGGTCTTCTCCCTTCCAACATGGGACCAACTCTCCTGGGAGGTCACACGGTGCGGAGAAAGAGCAACTCAGCACTCCACGGAAGGCTTTCACCTTGAGGTGGCTCTTTGCCCAGGCCCTGGATAAAGCTTCAGCATCTGAAATGGGAAGTTGGACTTTGGAATAAAGGTTTCCACCACATCATCACATAACACTTCTCAGCAAGAAGGTTCAGCACACACTGTTCAGGCATCCTTGTTTTGACTTCCTCACTCCAAGTACAGAAATTGTAGTGTGTCCACCTCTACAAAGATATAGAGATGCATTCTTCTTAGAACCATACATTTATAGGGTTGGAAGAGACCATATGGGTCATTCAGCCCAACCCCTTTCTGCCATGCAGGAAAACACAATGCACCCCGACGGATGGCCATCCAGCCTCTGTTTAAAAGCCTCCAAAGAAGGAGCCTCCACCACACTCCAGGGCAGATAGTTTCATTGTTGAGCAGCTCTCATGGTCGTAAAGTTCTTCCTAATGTTCAGGTGGAATCTCCTTTCTTGTAATTTGAACCCATTGCTTCCTAAAATAAAGCTGAGTACAATTTCGAAATGAGTTTTGTATTTCCTCTTTATCCAGAACTTTGAAAAAGTTTTCTTTGGACTACAACTCACAGATTGTACCAGACAGCATGACTCCAGTGAGAGAATGCAAGAACTGTAGTCCAAAATATAACTTTTCCGAAATATAATCTGTTCCTACCTGCCTTTGGGGCTGCAAATACAAAGCTAAATAGGTCAATATATTTTTCTTACTATTTGTAAAAGGGCAGAGGAAGGTTCGAGGTGAATCATCATAGTCTTCAACCTTGGGCCAGACCTGTAAACACAGTAACCAAATTATAATTACACAAACCAAGTGGAATAAGCCCCATCTACAGTGCCATATAAGACAGTTTGGAGCTGCATTATATGGTCAGTGTAGATGGGGCCTAAGAGGCAATAGATATTATATTTATCRTGTCAGGAGTGAAGCAAAACAGTTGTATTGCATTAAAAACAAACAAACAAACAAACAAAACATGAAATTTKCAGACTTGGTATTCTATTAAATGTCCTTTGACCAGTAGCTGGCCACTTGGAGTGCCTCTGGTGTTGCTGCAAGAAGGTCCATTGTGCATTGTGCATGTGGCAGGGCTCAGGTTGCATTGCWRTAGGTGGTCTGTGGTTTGCTCTTCTCCGCTCTTGCATGTCATGGATTCCACTTTGTAGCCCCATTTCTTAAGGTTGGCTCTGCATCTTGTGGTGCCAGAGTGCAGTTTGTTCAGCACCTTCCAAATCRCTCAGTTTTCTGTGTGCCCAGGGAGCAGTTTCTCATTTGGTATTAGCCATTGACCAATTTTGAATKTTTGGGTATTTTGGATTTCTGGATGAGGGATACTCAACCTGTATCTGTTTAAGCATATTCTGGGTGCTGCARTGTTGACAAGGTGGAACATATCCAAAGAAGGATGACCAAAATGGTCAAAAGTTTGAGAACCAAGTCCTATGAGGAACTGAGCAACACGATCATGATAGCTAACCATGTCCACATATATTGGATAGGTGTTTCAGTTAACCTTTCACCAGAATCTATCCATTTTGTGCTTCCAGAGATCTAATACACACTGGAATCCAAACTGTGACTGGAGAAACATTATTTTCCAGGTCCAGAATGCAATTTGAGTGACTACAATAAGATATGAGTCCACTTTTAGACAGTTAAGTTTAAATCTATGTACGGAAAAAGTTAGCAGAAGAAAACAAATTGAAAAAAAGATGCATGAATTTCCATGAGAGGAGGAAAAAAAATCACCATCCTGTATGAGTTCTAGATCAAGAAGCTTGAGTTTTACCAACATTCCTATTCAGCATTTATGTACGCACATAGAGTCTTTGGGTCTAGCAAAAGAAACAGTGCAGATCAATAAGACAAAGATGAGTGGGATGGTAAATCCTTACCTGCAGGCAAAGACAGGGAAATACCTGTGAGATAGGCAAGCTGACATTTTCAGGTGCAGTCTACAATGCAAAAATGAAATATGGACAGAATGAGAACACTGAACTAAATGGAGGGCTTCACAAACACAACAGAGACCATGTACCAAAAGCACAATAATCCCAAATAAACAGATCAGGGGAAGATCTCAGGGGCTCACATGTCTTTACACTAATGCACAGAGCATGGGAAATAAACAAGACGAACTCCAACATTTAGCACAACACCACAAATATGATGCCATAGGCATTACTGAAACCTGGTGGGAGGACTCCTATCGCTGGAATGTAGACATCGAGGGCTATAACCTCTTTCACAGAAACAGAACAAAGGGGAGAGGAGGCAGAGTAGCCTTATATGTCAAAAACTGTTACACTGCAGAAGAGATGCAAGACAGTAATCCAGGAAAACAGCTTGAAAGCATCCAGATAAGATCAATGGAACTGGGACTCAAAAAGATCTTATCGTAGGCGTCTATTACAGACCTCCAAGCCAGGATGAAGAACTTGATGAAGTCTTCTGCCAACAGCTCACCAAACAGACACAAAGAAGAGATATAGTAGTCATGGTCGATTTCAACTATCCCAATATTTTCTGGGAAATGAATTCAGTTAAGAGTACAAAGTCCAACAAATTCCTCACTTGCCTTGCAGACAATTTCATGGCCCAGAAGGTAGAAAAGGCCAATTCTGGGTGCTGTAGTGTTGACAAGGTGAAACATGTCCAAAGAAGGAGGACCAAAATGGTCAAAAGTTTGGGAACAAAGTCCTATGAGGAATGGTTGAGAAAGCTGGATCTATTTACCTTGGAGAAAAGAAGGCTGAGAAGGGACATGATAGCCATGTTTCAATATCTGAAAGGCTGTCACATTAAGAAGAGAGTGAGCTTGTTGTCTGGAGATGTAGGATACGTAGCAATGGATTCAAACATAAGGCAGAACCTACTGACATTAAGAGCTGTAGCAGTGGAATATGCTGCCTCAAAGCTGATGGAGTTTCCTTCTCTGAAGGTTTTAAGCAGAGGCTGGATGGCCATCTGTCACTTCTGACAGATTGTATTGCTTTAATTGCATGTTCCTGCATGGCAGGGGTTGGCTAGATGGCCCTTGTGGTCTCTTCCAACTCTGGGATTCTATCATTATTATGGACTCTGAAGACAAGTCACTTTCAAAAAATGGACAGGAGATCACTGCTACAAATGGTCAGGAGATCACTTGCACTCCATAGCCTTTTGTGTTATGGCATGGAGACAGAGGCCAGCTAAAAAGGTAAAGAAAAGGGAGAAGCATAGGGCATTGGGTCAACAAGCAAAAGCATGACACACTGAAGAAATAAAAAGGTTAAGTCCCTTTGGGGAGAGAGGGAGGGTTATAAATCAAGTATTATTATTTTTATGTTGTTGTTGGATATGAAGCAGGGAAGCATTAAGCTAGGCTTCTTGGTTTAGTCTTTCACTCACCAGCAATGTGATATTCTCACTCATCCCTTCAAGTCCGCTTGTCTGATTCAGGTACAGCCAGAGGTAGAAGTGTTGTCCTTCAGGGACGTCCCACACATGGAGCACGGCTTCCTCTAATCCCACAGAGACTTCCATCGTGGGGACTGTGAGACAGAAATAACCATAAGTACTCCAAATACCTCAAAGCTCCATCAAGAGGTCCAGATCTTGGCAATGTCTGGTCTTTGGACCACGAATCTCCAAACCCGTAGCTGTGAATGTAACCCAAAATACTTTGCTTCTAAAACTGGGGTGGGCAAATCTATTTTGCTTACATCTTCATTAAGTTCTTTTTTTAACCCTGCATCCTTTCTAAATATATAAAATTTGGAGAAATTTCCTTTAAAAATGGCTTCATCTGTACCAGGAAAATTCAATATTGGATGTGGATAAAGAAAACTGTAGGCACCAGTTCCATAGATACAGGGATCATACTGTACTCAACGCCTCTGGCCTGCATGTTAGCACTCCATTATGCTACATCAAAATGTTTAAAATGTCACGATCTTTCCAGCCTGAATATGGAAAAAATGTACATTTTGGGAAATTGTTATCTTTTGAAAAAAACCCAGAAATTAACTGGGTTGCTGTGAGTTTTCCGGGCTGTAAAGAGCAAAGACAAAAATCCACCCAAAGGAAAAGTGTTCTTACCATACATCAAGGGAGCCACTGGCAGCAGAGAGAAGCTGATGAAGAAACACAACCTACAAACTATCTACAGACCCACTCAGAAAATCCAACAAATGCTACGTGCAGCAAAGTACAAGAGGGATCCTCTCACTTCTGCAGCAGTCTACCGTCAACCATGCAGCTGTGGGCAAGTCTACCACCAAATGCAGCATTGCCCAAACATGTGTCAAGGAACATGAAAGGAACTGCAGACTAATTCAACCAGAGAAGTCAGCCATAGCAGAGCACCCAATGAACCAACCTGGATACAGCATATTATGTGAGAACACAGAAATGCTGCACCACTCTAACAACCACCGTGTCAGACTACACAGAGAAGCCATTGAAATACACAAGAGTGTGGACAATTTCAACAGAAAGGAAGAAACCACGACAATGAACAAAATCTGGCTACCAGTATTTAAAAACTATAAAATCAGGACAGTAAATAAAGAGCAAAACTCAGAAAACAGGGAAATTCCAGACAAGAATCAATCAGGGCCAGCTAACACCTCCCAACAAAGGATGCCCTCATGCAGGAAGCAGCCAGGCTTTGAAGCTGCAAGGCCATTCAATGATAATCAAAGCGTTCAATTGCAACATTCACACTAGCCTCAAACAGACAAGAGTTCTTTCTCCGACTCTGGACATTCCACAGATATATAAACCCAACTTGCCTAGTTTCCAACAGACCTCACAATCTCTGAGGATGCCTACCACAGATGTGGGTGAAATGGAAAGAATGCTTCTAGAACACAGTCATACAGTCCAGAAAACTCACAGCAATCTAGTGATTCTGGCCATGAAAGCCTTCAACAACACATTGCAAATTAAACTCTTACAATTTTCTATTTAAATTGCTCTATTTTATGTATGTTATGACATTTTATTGTAATCGTATTAAATATTATCCTGTTTGATATTCCACCCTTTGATTGAAAGGATGTTATAAATGAACGTTATCAGGAACTGTATAAAAGCACCATCTGTTTGAGCCGTCTTTCCTCTTCTTCTGCCAGTAAAACAAACTTTCTTATTATAATGAATAAGCGATGACAGCCAGGGGTGATACCAGTCAACACTGGGTTGGACACAGAGCTCAGAAATATCCCTTTCTTGGATCATAGGTCAAAGAATCTAGTTGTACTTGAAACTTGTCAAGTCCTTTAGGTTCTGCCCGTGATGCTATTTATGCAGTATTTTGATGATGAAATTGACCTCTTGTAACAAAATGAATAGGACAGTGAAATGTTGGGAGGGTATGCACCTTTACATCCAGCTTCTAAATTTACCAAACTATAATTGTAACACTAGGGCCCCTTCTATACTGCCATATAAAATCTAGATCAGCGTTTCTCAACCTGGGGGTTGGTCATGGGGGTTCTGTCAGAGGGGTGGCCAAAAAGCATCAGAAAACACAGTATTTTCTGTTGGTCATGGGGGTTCTGTGTGGGAAGTTGGTGCAATTCAGAATGCTCTTTGATTGTAGGTGAACTATCAATCCCAGCAACTACAACTCCCAAATGTCAAGGTCTATTTTCGAACTCAAGAACGGAAAACGGAATGTTGGTGGACAGGAAAAGAGATTTAAAGATGGGCTCAAAGCCAACCTTAAAAACTCTGGCATAGATACAGAGAACTGGGAAACCCTGGTCCTTGAGCGCTCCAGCTGGAGGTCAGCTGTGACCAGCAGTGCTGCAGAATTTGAAGAGGCATGAATGGAGGGTGAAAGAGAGAAACGTGCCAAGAGGAAGGCGCATCAAGCCAACCCCGACCGGGACCACTTCCACCTGGAAACCAATGCCCTCACTGCAGAAAAAGATGCAGATCAAGAATAGGGCTCCACAGCCACCTACAGACCCACAAGAATTCTGATCCTGGAAGACTATCCTACTTGGCCAACGAGGGATCACTTGAGTAAGTAAGGAAAATAAAATATCAATCCGAGCAACTACAACTCCCAAATATCAAAGTCTATTTCCCCCAAACTCTACCAGTGTTCACATTTGGGCATATTGAATATTTGTGCTAAGTTTGGTTCAGATCTATCATTGTTTGAGTCCACAGTGCTCTCTGGATACAGGTGAACTACAACTCCAAAACTCAAGGTCAGTGCCCACCAAACCTTTCCAGTATTTTCTGTTGTTCATGGGAGTTCTGTGCACCAAGTGTGGTCCAATTCCATCATTGGTGGAGTTCAAACCTCTGATTGTAGGTGAACTATAAATCCCAGCAACTACAACTCCCAAATGACAAAATCAACTCCCACAACCCCATCAGTATTCAAATTATGGGCATATTGGGTATTTGTGCCAAATTTGGTCCAGTGAATGAAAATACATCCTGCATATCTGATATTTATATTATAATTCCTAATAGTAGCAAAATTACAGTTATGAAGTAGGAACAAAAATAATTTTATGGTTGGGGGTCACAACAACATGAGGAACTCTATTAAGGGGTCACGGCATTAGGGAAGTTGAGAAATTCTAATCTAGATTATCTGCTTTGAACTGGATTATATGGCAGTATAGAATTCACTGGGTGAGCAAATCTGGTAACTGCAGGAAAGATGATTCCACCTAAACATTAGAAAGAACTTTTTGATGTTAAGAGCTGTTCAGCAATGGAATGTGTTGCCTGGGAGTGTGTTGGCGTTTCCTTCTCTGGAGGATTTTAAGCAGAGGCGGAATGACCATCTGTTGGGAGTGTTGTGATTGTTTATTTCTGAATAGCAGAATAGGGTTGGGCTGGATGTCCCTTGGGGTCTCTATAAACTCTATGATTCTCTTTCAAATCTTTTAAAAAGTAAACAACCATATGTGGCTTGTAAATCAGCATTCAATTCACTGATGAATTCACTCAAGCATGGGCAAACTTGGGCCCTCCAGGTGTTTTGGACTTCAACGCCCACCATTCCTAACAGCCTCAGGCCCCTTCCTTTTCCCCTTCAGCCGCTTAAGCGGCTGAGGGGGAAAAGGAAAGGGCCTGAGGCTGTTAGGAATGGTGGGAGTTGAAATCCAAAACCCCTGGAGGGCCAACATTTGCCCCTGTCTGATACTCAAAGGATTCCCAGATATTCCAGATGTTCACCTATTCATGTGTTAGCTCTGTCCAGACTCTGGAGTATCATATACTAAACTACAGCATAAGTTCTCAGGCAATTCTCTAAGTATGTCCACATCATCATATAATGATTTTTCCTCCAGACTCTCCTTAGGATCAGATTCCCTGTCTGGCAGGAGAAAATATCCCCTATGGAAGGTGCCTTTTGTCAGAGTGCGACAGAAGCTTTGAAGCTTAGAAGAATTGACACTTTGAGACTTCAGTAAAAGCAAACATTTAGCTTTACTGAGTAGAGCAAATATACAGCACACATTCGCATTTACATCCAACCAAACAGACAGGAACAAGACAAAAGACACACCGAAGTAAGAAGGACGAATGAAACCTTATCTCTGGATCCTTCCTACGCGTTCCAGAGACACTCAGGGTCACATCTTCACAGTTCATTACAGGCTTGACTGATTAACCCTTTCAGTGTCAATACACTCTTTCCTAATGCAATCAGGTTACATTTACAGGCATTATACAAAATTACATTTAAACATTCACATTAAATTGATCTTACATTAACACCTTTGGCCTTGCACAATTTGGCACCATATTCAGTATATGATCCCTGTTGCTCTTCCTTTAGGCATTTCTACTACACTGGTTACAAATGTGCACTAAAGAATTTTTAAAAGCCAAGTAGTAAGGGATCGAAATATAAGTGGGAAGGAACTCAGTAGCAAAGGGAACAATCCTTGGAAATTCCCGGTGTGATTGGGGAAAATCCTGTTTGAAACTGTAGAGAGAATGTGACTAACTATACAGAAGGCAATTTGGCACAAGACAACTTCCTATGCGTCATTTTCAGAACTGCAGGCTTGGCAATGAATCAACTGAAATCCCTCTTCATATGTGACATCTATCATCACCTTTTAGACAGTTGGGTTGCTGTGAGTTTTCTGGGCTGTATGGCCATGTTCCAGAAGCATTCTCTCCTGACGTTTCGCCCACATCTATGGCAGGCATCCTCAGAGGTTGTGAAACATCGGGAAAGAATGCTTCTGGAACATGGCCATACGAGGCCTTGGAAAACTCACAGCAACCCAGTGATTCCGGCTATGAAAGCCATCAGCAACACCTTTTAGATAATTAAACCACTTTAAGGAACTCTTCTGGGAACTGCAAGCACCACTGACATAGTTTACACAATTCACCCCTTCTACTAAGTAGTTAATGGAAATGCTGCCATGCTGTGGCCAAATAACCTGACTTGACACAGGTTTTGAATTTTTTTTTTTAATATAAATTTAGACCTATGAAAATCTTCCATTTTGGAAAACTCACTGGGACATTATTTATTTATTATTTATTTACTTTATTTCTATACCGCTTTTCTCAGCCCTCAGGCGACTCATTAAAATCACTACTGACCGAAAGGTCATGAGTTCAAAGTCAGCCCAGGTCAGAGTAAGCTCCTGACCATTTGTCTAGCTTGCTGATTACCTTTGCAGCCCAAAAGGCAGTTGTATCTGTCAAGTAGGAAATTTAAGTACTACTTATGTGAGGGGGCTAATTTAACTAATTTACATGTAGAATTCGATTGGAATGTGGATACTGCTGATATTGGAATGTGGATATGGCTGATATTACAGGCACGCTTGGAGGGGACAAGAGACAGGGCTTTCTCAGTGGTGGCCCCTCGGCTGTGGAATGCCCTGCCTGCAGATATCAGATCGGCCCCCTCCCTGCTGGCATTCCGGAGAAAAGTGAAGACCTGGCTGTTCGAACAAGCATTTGATTAAACAGTGTAATTGAACATAGGAATGGAATAATGGATGATGAGACTGGATTCTGATTTTACTGTTGAGGAGCTAATGATTGTTATACGGATGTTTAATGATTTATGTTACAATTGTTTTTAACTACCCTATACTTGTCTCGTGATGTTTTGTATTGATGTTGTTCACCACTTTGAGTCGCCTGAGGGCTGAGAAAAGCGGTATATAAATAAAGCAAATAAATAAATAAATAAATATGGTTTCAATTAATTCTCTATTTATTGTTTATATTTGTTGTTTTATTCTGTTTGTTATATGTAACGGCATCGAATTGTTGCCAAGTGTAAGCAGTTCAAAGCAGATAATGTGGATTATCTGTTTTGATAATCTGGATTATATGGCAGTGTAGAAGGGACCTAGTATAGTTGGAGGCGATGTGACTAGGCAAAATCATAGAACTCTTTCCTGTCTTGCAACGGATACTATATGTTGTTTGCCAAGAATACCTCTCATTCCCAGATACTGTGGAGAGTGGACAAGAAATACAAAAGTATCTCTTTCACCAAATACAGTACTATTAATCCTCCTGGGGAATCTAGTTTGGCTTAGTTTGATCCATCAAAGCAATTTTTATTTGCACAAAAACCAGTTGGGGAAATTCCTGACTCAAGACTAAAGATATGTATTCACTGAACCGAATGCGGGAAATTGGCCCTGTCCCTGCTGGTGCCTCTATAAAGGGAACGACATTGATAAAAAGTTGGTGTAATGTTGCTACATACTTTGGCAGAGGCGAACAGCATCTTGAGCTTCATGCCAGGTACAATCTGTGGGAAAGAAACAGAGCAATCAGAAAAGGAGATTGCTATCTGTAATGTATTATGCTTCTGATTTCTGGAAGGGAACTCACCTGGTCCAAAGTGCGTGAGCTGCAAGACATGCGAAGACAGGTACGGAGGCCTTGTGGAAGCGGAGACATACAGCTCCCCACTGATGGAAACGGGAAAGCAGTCAAAGTGGAGGAGACCCTGGGAAATAAGGCAACAAGAATGTCAAAGACCAAAGGGGGGGAAACAGCATGCACATTTAGCATGTGAAGGCAAATGTTTTAAGGCAGGCTCATTTCTTCATCACTCCAGACAGATCCAACCATTCTTACAGGGCATGAAATGATTATAATGGAGCAATGGATTCAAAATACAGGAAAAAAAGATTCCACCTACACATTAGAAAAAAACTTATCATTGTAAGAGGTGTTCAACAGTGGAATATGCTGCCTTGGAGTGTGGTGGCATCTCTCCGTATCTGGAGGTTTTTAAGCAGAAGATAGATGGCCATCTGTTGGGGATAATTTCATTGTGTTTTCCTGCATGGCAGAATGCGGTTGGACTGGATAGTCCTAAGGGCCACTTCCAGTTCTATAATTCTATGACTCTTCTGCATGATAATATGTTCAAGAAAGTGCCAGCAACTTGTGGTTGCCAGATCATGACTACCGCAGGCTCTGAGATTCAAGGTTGAAAACTGAGAACTACAAATGAGTCATTATGAGGTCACAGCAGGCAGTTCCTGGTAGTGCCATTAAGCATGCTTGCCTCGATTAAATACCAACCAGAGCAGCACAGAGCATGCTATTCAACATCCCCATTCACACACATGTGCACATACATCTAACAAATGTATGTCTGGATAATTTTGGGTTTCTCTGAAACTGTGAACAAAAAAAACCTTCTAAATGCCCTGAAAACAAAGGAAAAGGTCACAAGCTCTGAGATGTGAGAACACTATTGGTCATATGCACAGTTGGTTCTCTGTATCCACAGATTCTGCACCCACAGATTAAACTATCCACGTTTTGAAAATATTCCAATAATTCAAAAAAAGGGGGGGGGGGGACAATCATTGATTTTGCTATTTTACTAGGCTATTTTACTATATCACTGTATATAATGAGCCTTGAACACCTGCAGATTTTGGTATCCACAATACTGGGGTGCAGAATGGTCCTGTGACCAAACTTGGGGCCACAGTGGGTTAAATTACTAGCTGCAGGAAAAGCTGCTGACTGGAGGGTTAGCAGTTCGAAGTCATGAGTCCGGGTGAGCTCTTGACTGTCAGTCCTAGCTTCTGCCAACCTAGCAGTTCGAAAGCATGCAATGCGAGTAGATCAATAGGTACCACCTCGGTGGGAACGTAAAAGGGTGCCCAATGTACACATACTAGCAAAAACATGATCAGAGATAACAGACTCCTCAGCATGGAAAAATGGAGCAAGAACATGTCCCCATGGCTGGAGCTGAATATCGCCTCCAGACGTCGGAGACGAAAAAGGGAAGGCCTTTGCCTTGTCTGTGTTATTGTATGTCATTGTGTAAAAGGACACTGAATATTACCTTATATGTGTACTAGTCATGGCACTTTCTTGAACATGTTTCATTTGTTTATTTCGTGTTTTTGTACCGTTCTGTCCATTCAGATGGCACAGAATGGTACAACCCCATTGGGAATTTCAGACACCTCTCTGCAACAGTAGGAAGGGAAAATGCAGGGTTTTGGAGGGCTGTTTGGAAAATCATAGAATCAAAGAGTTGGAAGAGACCTCATGGGCCATCTAGTCCAACCCCCTGCCAAGAAGCAGGAATCTTGCATTCAAATCAAATCACCAAACCATCCAGCCTCTGTTTAAAAGCTTCCAAAGAAGGAGCCTCCACCACACTCCGGGGCAGAGAGTTCCACTGCTGAACGGCTTTCACAGTCAGGAAGTTCTTCCTCATGTTCAGATTCCATCTGAACATAAGGAAGTTAAATGAGTCCAATGTAATGTGATCTCAGAGCACAGAAGAGTTAGCCTCCATCTACACTGCCATATAATGCAGTTTCAAAATGTAGTTTAACTGCATTGAACTGGATTATATGAGTCTACACCGAAACTGCATTAAATGACAGTGTAGATGGGGCCTTGCTCTGGGAACCCATAACTCTCAGAATCCTCCAGCTAGCATGGTCAGTGACTAAGACTTCATCATAAAGTGCCTCTTTAGCCAAGAATAAGTTTGCATTTAGGCTTTTTCTGTAAATACACCTTACAGAATATGACATTATACTAAAAGACACATTTCTAGCTCTTGCTGCTCTGAAAGTATGCAGCCTCTAAAGAGCAGTCCCTACAATTGTGTTGCAACAAATTATAGAACTTATACGAGAGGAATAAATTCCTCTGCATGGTATGGCTTTCAACATTCAGTTTCATGTTGAAGTTTGAGAGTGCAATGATTAAACCATGAGTCTGAAGGTGCAATGACAAAACTAGATAGAAACAGATTCAAATTCCAAGTGGAAATGAAACTCACAGACTAACTTTGGGCTGTTGTTACGCTAAAACCATGCAAATGTCTTTGAGATAAAGGCAGACTATATCTATATAAATAAAAATGTAATGTTCGTTTGTGGGATTAACATAACTCAAAAACCACTGGACGAATTGACAGCAAATTTTGGCAGAATACGCCTAACAACCCAATGAGTGACCATCACTCAAAAAATGATTTTGTCATTGGGGAGTTGTAGTTGTTGGGATTTATAGTTCACCTACAATCAAAGAGCATTCTGAACTCCACCAATGATGGAATTGAACCAAACTTGGCACACAGGACTCCCATGACCAACAGAAAACACTAGAAGGGTTTAGTGGGCATTGACCTTGAGTTCTGGAGTTGTAGTTCACTTACATCCAGAAAGCACTGTGCACTCAAACAGTGATGGATCTGGACCAAACTTGGCAGGGTTACTCAATATGCCCAATTATTATTATTATTATTATTATTATTATTATTATTATTATTATGAGTAGGGTTATGGACAAATTGAACTATGGACTTTACATGCTTTTTAAATTTGTATACTGATGTATTTTATTATTGCTTAATGTTAATATTTTAACTGTTTAATTTTTATTGTTAGTACTGGTTTTTATCACCATTTAATTTTTGACGGGATTGTAAGCCGCCTTGAGTCTCTTCAGGTGAGAAAGGCGGGGTAGAAATGGAGTAAATAAATAAAAATAAATTTTGCCTTGTTTATGGGCTTCCCTTCCCATTAGGACATCTAGTTAGCCATGCCAGAAATAGAACTACGCAGGCCTTGTTATAACCAGCATGACTGCCCTCTTCTCCTCCTCCTCTTCATCTTCTTCCTCTCCTTCCTCTTTTTCTTCTTCCTCTTCAAAACAATTCTTCAAAATTGTTCAAAACCAGCACTCATAGAGTTTACCTTTTTTGATACATGACCAAGAGTCATGGCATGTCGTTCATCCAGCTCTATTTCTGGGTTAGGCAAAGGGAGGAAGCTGTGGGCAGGCTGGCACAGCAATGCTTACTCTACGGAGTGCTCTGTATGAAGCCAAAACCTGCTCTACAAGTGGCAGAGAGCAATCTTATAATACGCCTTTATATTCCTCTTTTAATCTCCCTCGAAAGAATAAGGCCTTTTATTCTTTATCACAATTAAATTCAGGGTTTTTCCCCTTATGCATTAACCTCCAAGTCTTCCAAATGGAAGATCTCACTCTTTGCTTTGGAGGCAAATAGTCGACATCTGAATGCAAGAGAGACAATGGTTGCTTTTTTGTACTAAAACTCTTTATCACTGCTGTGGCATTGCTTTTCCACAATGAGCCATCAGTTTGGCATCTGCAAAAGACAGGACTTTTATGTTGATGCTGGTTTGCATTATACAGAGTTCAAGTGTAAGCAAGCAAGCTAGTTGCACAGAACATGAGTATAATTAAAAAAATAATGCTTTTATTGGATGACTAAAGTATAATAAAGAATCCTGGAAGAATTGGAAGCTTGTCTTGTTTATCATATTTTCATTTTTCAGTAAAAGTATTACCCAACTTTGGGTTGCTGTGAGTTTTCTGGGTTGTATGGCCATGTTCGAGAAGCATTCTCTCCTGACGTTTCGCCTGCATCTATGACAGGCATCCTCTGAGGTTGTGAGGTCTGTTGACAACTAGGCAAGTGGGATTTATATATCTATGAAATGTTCAGTGTTGGAGAACCTCACAATTTCTGAGGATGCCTGCCATAGATGCAGGCAAAATGTCAGGAGAGAATGCTTCTGGAACATGGCATCTACGGCAGGCATCCTCGGAGATTGTGAGGTCTGTATTGCCCAACTTTGTTTACTTGTTCTTTACTTTTGAACTGATGCCAGTATTTTCCTTCTTGTTGTTGAAACAACAGGTCGCTATATTAAAATCTGTATTAAGCAATAGTTTTTGGGCCAAGCAAAAGGGCCATGAAACACATACTGTACAGGCTCTTCAGAACATTATTGTTGGACAATGTATTGCCACAGTTTGCATTCTAGGAATCTGCCTGATGCCCATGTTGATTAGGAACAGTACCAAGCAGGGAACAAATAAAATGCCTATCCAACCTGGATAGGCTGAGCTATACTTTTGTGTTATAATGTTCACACATGTACATTCTCCCTTGTACAATTTGTGACTGAAAAAAATGCAAAAAACAATGTACAAGCAATCACTAAGTTACAAACATCCAACTTACAAACAATTCATAGTTAAGAATGATGGTGAGACAACAGGAAGTGAGAGAAGCCTACCCCTTGGAAGGGAAATTCACCCTTGAAAGAATTATCATAGGGAAGAGATGTCTCCACTGAAGCTTTATCCCCAATCTTTGTTTCCACACCAAGCCAAATTTTTCAAAATCCAATGATCACAGGTACAGAAAGTGAGGTAAAAACTTCTGAACAGGGGTACAGATAGCAAAACAAACACCAAAGAGGTGTTCACTCTTCCCTATGCTACTCAAAGCTAGCACTCTCTCTCTATATATGTGTGTGTGTATGTGTGTGTGTAAAGGTTTTCCCCTAACATTATGTCTAGTCTAGTCTGACTCTGGGGGGAGGTGTGCTCATCTCCATTTCTAAGCTGAAGAGCCAGTGAGTGTTGTCCGTAGACACCTCCAAGGTCATATGGCCAGCATGACTGCATGGAGTGCCGTTACCTTCCTGCTGGAGTGGTACCTATTGATCTGCGCGCACACACACACACACACACATACATAAACAAATCTGTAGAACCTATCTTGTTTTTTTGTAGGGGAGTGCCTGTATTAAACACTGGTTGGCAAATTTTTTGCTATTGTTGTGCTTTCAAGACATTTCCAAATTATGGTGATCCTCAGGTGAATTTATCATTGGGTTTTGGATCCTGGTCTCCAATGCTCACACAACTAGACCATGCTGGCTCTAAAGCTGAGGCAAAGGAATGTCTATTGAACGTTTGAATTGCCCTGGATTTGTTTCGTTTATGAAGAATAGGCTAGAATTATTTAAGTAAACCATGCTGTTATGGGTGCCACTCACTTGCCCGCTCCCTGTAGACCAAATTAATACCATCATTCAGGTGGAGCAGCCAATAGGAGGGACATATGAGCCTCTTCCCAACTCAGGTCACTGGTCATTGGTTTTGAACAAGAACACTCAAGGTATGACTGGGAGAACAGGGTTCAGATTCCCACTTGGCCATGAGAACCCATCGAGGGATCTTGGGCTGGTCACATTTAGCCCAAGGCAATGTCCAACCTCTTTAGAAGACATTTTGCCATTAAAATCTTATGATACGATTGCCATAACTAGGGGTCAAGTTGAAGGCACAGGAGGAGGAGGAAGAGGAGGAGAAGGAGAAAGGAAAGAGGAGGAGGAGAAGTATAAGGAGCAGGAGGAAAAAAGAAAAGGGAGAAGGAGCAGGAAAAGAAGAAAGAGGGGGAGGCGCAGGAGGAGAAAGAGAAGCAGCAGGAAAAGATGCAGAAGGAGGAAAAGACCAGAGCTGTTGGAAATAGCAAACTTCTACAAGCCTCATATGCTAGTTATTTGTTATATATATACTGTATATACTCGAGTATAAGCCTAGTTTTTCAGCTCTTTTTTTAGGCTGAAAAAGTTCCCCTCGGCTTATACTCGAGTCAAGGTTATTTTTTTGCTCTGTTGTTGTTGTTGTTGTTATTATTATTACATTTATAATTTTACTCTATTCGTATTATTACATTTATTATTGTACTTTATTATTGCTATTGCATTTATTATTTACATTTATTATTTTATTCTATTATAACTCTTATTACTACATTTCCATTACTTTAATCAATAGTAATAATAATAATAAATGTAATAATTAGTTTTTATTAATAAATTATTACATTTATTATCTTATTATCTTTATTATTATTGCAAGGATACATAAGCACATTTACATTGAAGAAGATGAAAATAATGGTTTCATCAGAGTTGGACAGTCTTATCTTAAATTGTAGTTTTATGTAAATATTCAAAGATATTGTACCTACCGATGCCTCAATTAATGTAATTTTATTGATATCTATTTTAATTTTGAAATTGACCAGTACCTGCTGCATTTCCCACCCTCAGCTTATACTTGAGTCAATACATTTCCCCAGTTTTTTGGGGGTAAAATTAGATGCCTTGGCTTATATTCGGGTCGGCTTATACTCTAGTCTATACAGTAATTCAGTTTGTTTACTATATTGTATATGTGTCTATTGGTATGCATTTTTCCTTAACTCTGTTGTTTGAGGTTGTGGGAGGGACTGCAGACCATGTCATCAGATCTGGGACTATTCAGTTTGAGACTCCATTTTAGAAGTCTGTGCTGTGTTTAGTTTTGTAGAGTCAGTTGTGTTTGGGTTGTGTTTAGTTTGCATTAAGACAGAGAAGAGACTGCAACATAATGCCTTAGAGAACTCTCGGTTTAAACTTTCATCTGATAAGCAGTGTACCTGTATGCTGAATACAGGAAGTTTGTAAGTAAACCAACTATGTTATTTTTAACAAAGACTACTTATTTTTTGTCTCTTGAGAGCATGATTTAAAACCAAATATATTTTGTGGGAGAGTAGGTGTTTTTTGGGCAACTAAAATAACACTTCTGGAGATCTGCTATATATTTCGTGCATTGGCATAATCTTTGTTCTTAACCGTTCAAAGAGATAACCAGATATATCAGTCTAACAACTGAGAAACCTAATTTTCCTTGCATGAATATTAATGGCTATCAAAGAGAAGATTGACTCAAATGAGTTTTTAGCTCTTCTCAGGAAGATCATACTTTACAAAAGGTTATGATTTTCCAAATGGTTGTAAATGCCAATTAGTCTCCATACGGTCACACTTCCAAAAGGCTGTGGAGATTCTGGTTTTCCGAAAGGTTATGATCTCAAAGGTCATCCTTTCCCAAAAAGAACATCATAAATAGTAAGAAGGCCATAGGGCTTTGAGTACCAGCAGTTGGTCTTCTGCTGGACTGTGCTTTGATAAGGCGAAGCTCTGGAGGCAGCAGATAAAAGCAGTCATATGACAAGAGATGAGATGAAACATAAGCAAGGGACAACAATGTGTTCACTATAGGCTTCTTATTTAGCATCTATCTTTGTTCGTATATTTTTTATTCCTCAAGGTTCGTGCAAAAGGATACTTACCAGAGTGTTATTGTACCAGTCACGTTGTTCAAAGGGAATCAAGACTTCTACCTCGGCACAGTGGGAGGAAGGGTATGTCTCGGCTGAAAGTAAAACGTGGGTTCGCAGGAATTCTGGAAACAGAGAGATCAAGCAAGAGCACAAGTCAACAGGGCAGGGGGAGGGTTTCAATTGGTAAATAAGGGCTTCTACGGACAGGTCTTTTCCAGCTCACCCTCTGTTTTCCCATTATGTTTTTTGAGCTGTATGCTAGTCATGGAAGCTCCTCCACCTAGTTGTGCAGGTGACTCTACAAGGAAATGAAAGAAACATGTCACTGAGATGTTAAACTATTATTTCTATGAAAATATTTGCTTTGTTGCCTCCTAAGACATACTCATAAAATGGCCACAAAGTACAAAGGGGCTGAAACTAATAGAAAGGCCAACACAAACAAAATATTTAAGCCAACCAGCACTCAAAGTGCCATTCAGATGTTTCATTTGAGGGTTTACATAACATATCGTTTGCATGCCTTGTCTTAGAGGACTGCTAACTGCTGCTGAAGAAAATGAAGGAACAGATTTGAAAAAAAAGACCGAGCAACTCAAGTTGGGCAAAGGGAACAGAGTTAAACTTAGGATAATATTTTTGAAAGAGAATTATGTTGCTCATTGCTTTTAAAGGCAACATTTTACTGTCTTGTTCCTATCAATATGTTACCATTCTATTCTTAAAGAAAAATCTCCTACAAAATAGAAAAATGACAAAAGACATGCTGCCTAGGAAGATATGTGGCATAATCCAACATGCCATGCAAGACGGGAAGATGCCTTACATTACTGCAGACCACTGGATCATGTTATGGTCCACATTGTGTATACGCATCACTTAATAGTAAACTCATGAATTTGAAAAGGTTTTCTTTGGCTCTCAATTATAGCTTACAGGAGTGTTTCTCAACCTGGGGGTCAGGACCCTTGGCGGGGGGACAGTGGGGGTGTCAAAGGGGTCACCAAAGACCATCAGAAAACACAATATTTTCTGTTGTTCATAAGGGTTCTGTGTGGGAAGTTTGGCCCAATTCTATCCTTGGTGAGGTTCAGAATATTATTTGATTGTAAGTGAACCATAAATCCCAGCAACTCCAACTCCCAAATGTCAGGTTCTATTTTCCCCAAACTCCACCAGTGTTCCCATTTGGGCATATTGAGTATTTGTGCCAAGTTTGGTCCAGTGAATGAAAATACATCCTGCAGATCAGATATTTACATTGCGATTCATAACAGTAGCAAAATTACAGTTACGAAGTAGCAACGGAAATAATTTTTTGGCTGGGGGTCACCACAACATGAAGAACTGTGTTAAGGGGTCACGGCATTAGGAAGGTTGAGAAACACTGATTTAGTATTTGTTCACAATCTCCCATTCAAGTACTAATCAGGGTTGGCCCTGCTTAGCTCCCAAGATCCCTATCAAAAGTCATCAAGATTTGCATTCCAACAGTAGCCAGAGCCAGAACGGAGGAAAATGGAGCCAAAGTGGGCATGGCTTGAAGAATAGGCAAGCTTGAAACTGGATCAAGGTTGATATGAAACTAGGCAAAGGTCTGCAAGTGGCATTTATGCCATAAATCCTACTGTAGACCAATAAGCTTGGCCTGTAGTGGCAGGAAGGGTGCATCTGCATTGAAGAATTCATAGGTTGATGTCACTTTAAATGCTGTGGCACAGTGCTATAGAATACTGGGATTTGTAGTCTGGTGAGGCCCTAGCACTCCTTGGCAGAGAAGACTAGAGATTTTGTAAAACCACAACTCCTATGATGCCACAGCGTTGAACTGTAGAAGGAAAAGTCATGCCAAGCTACAATAATTCTATAGTATAGATGCTCCCATATTACAGCCAGGATTCAAACAAAAGTCATGGGAGAGGTGGCAAAAGCAGAGCAAGGGGAAGCTTTCAAGCACCGACTCCAGTGTCATCTTTCTCACCCAGGAGACCAAGGCGTAGTGTCACCTGCACACAAGGGATACAGTCCTGACGTTCCTGGCACCGAAGTTTGTTCCTCATCATCATCTCAGTCAGCACCAAGACAGGACCCGTTTCGGGATCTGGCACTGTCTCCCCAGCTATGCACAGCACATCCTCTTATGAGAGGCGAGAGAGAGAAAAACATGGCTTTATGGAACCGACCGAGGCACTAGCATATAGGGTGCCTCTGCACTGTAGAACTAATGCACTTTGACGCCATTGTCATTGCCATGGCTGTATGCTATAGAATCCTGGGAATCATAGTTTGTAAAGGCACAAGCACACTTTGGCTAAAAATACCTTGTGAAACTACAACTCCCAGGATCCCACAACACTGAGCTACAATAGTTACAGTGGTGTCAAACTGCATTAACTCTACAGCGTAGATGCACTTCTAGTGTAGATTGTAGCGATCGCTAGTTGTTTTAGAAATCTCTATCTATAATCATGCGCACTTGTGTAGATATGGATTGCTAAATTGAAGCAGTTATATTATCTATATTAAGAACAGTTTTACAGCAATTTCCATCTCCACTAAAAACAATTCTATAAAGCTAATTAATTTAACTGGCAACCTAGGTAGTATCCACACTACAGAATCAAAGCAGTTCAGCAGGATTTGTAGCTTTGTGAGATATTTACCTTTCTCTGACAGAATGCTTGAGTGCTGCAACAAGCTACAAATCCCAGTATTCCATCTGATGGAGTAATGGCAGTGAAAGTAGTGTGAAACTGCTATGATTCTGCAGTGTGAATGGTCTCTTAGGCCCCATCTATAATGCAATTTGAAGCTATTATATGCTCAATGTGCATTATACGAGTCCACACCAGGTATGGGCCAACTTGGGCCCTCCAGGTGTTTTGGACTTCAACTTCCACAATTCCTAAGAGCCTCAGGCCCTTTCCTTTTCCTCCTCAGCCGCTTAAGTTGAGGCTGTTAGGAATTGTGGGAGTTGAAGTCCAAAACACCTGGAGGGCCCAAGTTTTCCCAGGCCTGGTCTACACTGACCACACAATGTAGTTTCAAAGTATTATATGGCAGTGTAGATGGAAACATAGTCAACACCAAGCTATCCCAGAATACTTTACATTACAAACAAAGAAACATTGGACTCCCATTGACCATGCAAGATAGGAAATACAGGGTTTTGTAGACCAAAAAAGAAATTTTCCAATCCTCTGCAAATGGGATGGTTTACCATCATATATTGTTGTTGGGTAATAAATCCCATTAAGCTGAGAAAGAACAAGGATGCCTGAAAGGGATGATGGATGATACTATTATTCTGGCTCATCGGAAAGCCCCATCGCATAAACAATATGCCCTGCCATTATTGATTATCTTTTTTGGCCCATCATTTTGAACCTGTTACCCCACTTTTCATTTCTCATCATTGGTTACCCATCTCTTTGTGGATTCAGTACAAGTTTCAGTACAACCCTATCTTTCTGCCCATATTTCTTTTTAACAAGCTGCTTGATATCTAGAGGCTAGGGTCCCATCTACACTCTAATGCAGTTTGAAATGGCTTTTTTTTTCATCAGGAGCTACTTGAAAGATTGCAAGTTGCTTCTGGTGTGAGAGAATTGGCCATCTGCAAGGACGTTGCCTGGATGTTTTGATATTTTACCATCCTTGTGGGATACTTCTCTCATGTCCCTGCATGGGAAGCTGGAGCTGACAGAGGGAGTTCATCCGTGCTCTCCCCAGATTTGAACCTACAACCTGGTCAGCAGTCCTGCTGGCACAAGGGTTTAACCCATTGCACCACTGGGGGCTCCTGAAATGGCATTATATGGTTGGTATAGATAGGGCCTATGTTCCATTTTAACTGCACTGAACTGCATTATATAAGTACACTGACCATTTAATGCTGTTTCAAACTGTATTATATGGCAGTGAAGATGGAGCCAAGGCTGGTCTGAAGGCACGGGATAGAAAGATGAAACCTAAAATGCCACCCAAGAGAAGTTTTTTTTCTTTTGTGCCCGTCCTCATTTCTAATTCTTCTCTCTTTTCCCCGAATGCCAGTAGTGTCAGAGAGATCTTTGACTCCTTTTAGTGTCATTTAATTTTTTGCAGGGATCACAAATGGATCTGTTTATTATTGTTGAAAGGCAAAGCTATTTACTCTACGGTGTAGTTTGTTAAAAAGTAAACAATCCTGCAAAATAATCCTGTCTGACTGGATTGACCTTCAAACTGGATTGAAGGCATGCCAAGTACATGGCACACTTTATTTAATTGCAGGTATAACCATGAGATTATAACTATTGAATGAAAACAAAACAGAAAACACGTACCCAGCAGCCGGCAGCTCAGGCCCTGTAGAAAGACAAAGAAGGTTTAAGCGCAAGTAACATTTCTCTCCTTTTCCATCACAATCCCCGGTGGCACAGTGGGTTACACCCTTGTGCCGGCAGGACTGCTGACCAACAGGTCAAATTTGAATTCAAGGAGAATGCAGATGAGCTCCCTCTGTCAGCTCCAGCTTTCCATGTCGGGACATGAGAGAAGCCTCCCGCAAAGATGGTAAAACATCCGGGCATCCTCTGGGGGACATCCTTGCAGACAGCCAATTTTCTCACACCAGAAGCGACTTGCAGTTTCTCAAGTTGCTCCTGACACGAAAAAACGAACAAAAACAATCTTCTTTTCAACACACCAAAGAAGGTTGAGATTGAAGAAACAAACACTGTCTCTAACTGCCCTCACAATTGTATGGTTCCTTACATGAAACAAATCTGTGCCCAAAACAATACACATCACCAATACTAATCAAGGCAACCAATTGCAACATTCACACTTGCCTCAAACAGACAAGACTTCTTTCTCCCACCCTGGATATTATTCCACAGACATCTAAACCTCATTTTCCTAGTTTCCAACAGACCTCACAACCTCTGAGGATGCCAGCCATAGATGTGGGCGAAACATCAGGAGAGAATGCTTCTGGAACATGGCCACAGAGCCCGAAAAACTCACAGCAATCCAATATATATCTCCCTTTTTTAAAAAAAAAATAAAATCTTGGAAGTTACTTTTTAGAATGAAAACCCATAATCCTACAGCCAGGACCTTCTGGAACCCATGTCTTTTCCACACTGCATAATTATAGCAGTTTGATACCACTTCATCTGTCTAGGGGTTCATCTGTAGAAATAAGGCAAGTTGACACCAGTTTAACTGCTATGGCACAATGCAATGGAATAGTTGGAGTTGGAGTTTTACAAGGTCTCTAACTTTTTCTGGTAAAGAGTGCTGGTGCCTCACCAAAATATACCTTTCATGATTCCATAGCATTGAGGCATGGCATTTAAAATGGCACCAAACTGCATTCATTCTAAAGCGTCAATGCAATTTTAAATAATTCCTTTCTGTTCCTCGCCCAGTGCCTTCCTACCAAGAGCTAGTGGAACAATAGTGGCGATATATTACTGCGCTGGCAGGACTGACGACCGACAGGTTGCAGGTTCGAATCCGGGGAGAGGCGGATGAGCTCCCTCTATCAGCTCCAGCTCCTCGTGCGGGGACATGAGAGAAGGCTCCCACAAGGATGATAAAACATCAAATCATCCAGGCGTCCCCTGGGCAACGTCCTTGCAGATGACCAATTCTCTCACACCAGAAGCGACTTGCAGTTTCTCAAGTCACTCCTGACATGACAAAAAAAGGAGGAGGAGGAGCCCCCAGTAGCTGCTGAACTTGCTGACCAAAAGGTCAGCAATTCAAATCCGGGGAGCAGGGTGAGCTCCCACTGTTAGCCCGTTTCTGCCAACCTAGCAGTTTGAAAATATTCAAATGTGAGTAGATCGATTACCTTTGGGAAGGTAACAGCACTCCATGCAGTCATGCTGGCCTCATGACCTTGGAGGTGTCTATGGACAATGCTGGCTTTCCAGCTTAGAAATGTAGATGAGCACCACCCCCGAGAGTCAGACATGACTAGACTTAATGTCTAGTCGCGTCTGACTTTACTTTTGCCTTTAGTAGTAGTAATGGTTTTATTATTGTCATTGTCATTATTTGCATACTGCTTTTACTCTTAACAGAGACTCATGGCAGCAAACAGTATTCTTTAGGGCACATAAGCCCTTTGACTCCTTAAGAGGTGTGGCTTTTCCTGGCATCTGGGAAAGTGCTAATAAAAAGTCATCTAATTGATTTCTGTGAATTCAGAGCTGCTATGAGAAAGCTAACACAAAAGAAGTCACCTCCAAGTGGGTGGAAAGGGCAGCTGCCCTGTTAGCTCAACCTGACTCGCTCCTTCTCTTAGCTTGGCACTGCCACCACCACACTGTAATTGGGAGGGACTGGCATTTGCTGTCTCCTTGGTCACAAAAATTCCAGAGTATAAACAGCAGCTGAAGAGACCTTGCTATGATAATCTGTGCAGCTGGTGCAGCCTCCTCAACCTCTCTTAGCACCCACACTCCTCCCTTTCCACAGCAGCATCCATTTACACTTTGGAAGTAATGCAGTTTGACACTAGTTTAACAGCAGTGGTTCAGTGGAACTTGGGGTTTTGCAAGGTATGTAGCCCTTTATGCCACAAAAAAGTGCTGCTGCCAAAGGAAACTACAATTCTTAGGATTATGTAGCATTGAGCCATCTATATAAATAAAAATGTAATGTTTGTTTGTGGGATTAACATAACTCCAAAACCACTGGACGAATTGCCGTCAAATTTGGTCACAAGACACCTACTAACCCAAGGAGTGACCATCACTCAAAAAAATTGATTTTGTCATTTGGGAGTTGTAGTTGCTGGGATTTATACTTCACCTACAATCAAAGAGCATCCTGAACTCCACCAATGATGGAATTGAACCAAACTTGGCACACAGGACTCCCATGACTAACAGAAAACACTAGAAGGGTTTGGTGGGCATTGACCTTGGGTTTGAGAATTGTAGTTCACCTACATCCAGAGAGCACTGTGGACTCGAACAATGATGGATCTGGACCAAACTTGGCACGAGTATTCCATATCTCCAAATATGAACACAGATGGAGTTTGGGGAAAATAAACCTTGACATTTGGGAGTTGTAGTTGCTGGGATTTATAGTTAACCTACAATCAAAGAGCATTCTGAACTCCACCAATGATGGAATTGAACCAAACGTGGCACACAGAACTCCCCTGACCAACAGAAAATACTGGAAGGGTTTGGTGGGCATTGACCTTGAGTTTGGGAGTTGTAGTTCACCTCCTTCCAGAGAGCACTGTGGACTCAAACAATGATGGATCTGGACCAAACTTGGCACAAGTATTCCATATCTCCAAATATGAACACAGATGGAGTTTGGGGAAAATAAACCTTGACATTTGGGAGTTGTAGTTACTGGAATTTATAGTTCACCTACAATCAAAGAGCATTCTGAACCCCATGAACAACAGAATTGGGGCAAACATCCCACACAAACCCCCACGACCAACAGAAAATACTTAAGGCCATCCAGTCCAACTCCCTTCACCAGGGAAAGAAAACGTAATCAAAGCCCTCCTGACAAAGAGCCATCCAGCCATAGATATAGATAAATATATATGATTCACAGACATATAGTATCATAGATTTGAAAGGTAGCCCTAAAGAAGGACATTGATATGTTGCCTGTTCCAGAATAGGCAAACCAGACACTCTCCACATCCACACTGACAAAGAAACTGCAAGAAATACTGTTTATCCACAAGCATAAAGAAATTACATATATTAGAAACCAACACTTTCTCATTACTTTATTTTCCAGATCACCAGACTGGGCCACAGCAACACGTGGCAGGGGATGGCTAGTGACTACTAAAGTGGTGTCAAACTGCAGTAATTCTACAGTGTAAATACACCCTTCAGCACCAAAGGGAGTAAGTTGAGAAAGTGGAGGGACGAGAGAGAAAAGCAGCTGAAAGGTGAAATGGTACAGGATTTATCTCTGTCAAATTGAGATAATTAGAATGTATAGAACTGTAGTTGAAACAACTAACTCATGCAGGTGCTGACGTCCAAAAAGTGACATTTTCAAGCAGTGTGCAATGCCAATGCTGCATATGTGGTTTACACATATGGAACACCTGGCATGGCCTTTCTTATCCTACTCAACCTACTCCAAGCCTCCACTAGTAATTTGTTTGTATATAATCCTGTTGCTTACTGTTTTGTGTGTATGTTCTGGTATGCAGCTTATTTTGCTCTGTGTTTCTTGAGAGAGTTGTGGGAGGGGCTGCAGACCACATGATCTGATCTGAGACTACTCAGATCACAGACTTCTTAGACTTTGGGACTGCTCAGATCACCACATGCCTGCTGTTGATTATAGGAAAGATGCCCTGTGCCATCTGCACACAGAGATTATCTCAAATATGTCTGTAACTAGACTGATAAGCTATGTACCCATGTTATGCTGAACACATGAAGTTGTGAGTAAACAAAATATGTTATTTTATCAAAGCCTACTTCATTTTTGTCTCTTGAATGCATGATATAAAACAAGTTGTTTTATGGGAGAGTAGAGCAGCGGGTTGAACTGCTGAACTTGCTGACAGGGGTGCTTTGATCCAGTGAATGAAAATACATCTTGCATATCATATATTTACATTAGGAATCATAAAATAGCAAAATGACAGTTTTGAAGTAGCAGTGAAAATAATTGTATGGATGGGGGTCACCACAACATGAGGATCTGTATTAAGGGGTTGCGGCATTAGGAAGGTTGAGAAACACCGTCCTACACACACTCCCCACATTTGATAATGCTAAGTAGAATCTGCAATACTTTAATTTTCAAGCAGTTATTAAAGGATTTGAGAAAATATTACTGTTTTATTATTCACACATAGGCTGAGCAGAAGTAATATAAAACATTGCTATGGTAACCTTTATCCATTGTCTGGCAAGGGAATTCAAGCAGCAGTTGCTTCATACAGAGGAGGGAAAAACACTTAACTTCTTGAGTTCCATTGGAAAGAATTGGTAAAGTCCAAAAGTCCAGTTGGTCTTCCGCTGCTTTTTAAGTATCCTTTATACCACAGCCAATCAAGTGTGGCTCTCCAGACAAAGACTGCAATACCAACTGCCCCAATTTGGAAGGGATGTTGGTGATTAACCTTCAAAGGTCTGGAGACCGATGAATCCCTGTCAGGAGCAGCTTTGAGAGCTGCAGAAGAGGAGGTTAAGAGGACCTCTGAGGATGCCTTCCACAAATTCAGGCAAAACGTCAGGAGATAATGCTTCTAGAACATGGCTATACAGCCCAAAACACCGACAACAACCCAGTGATTCGAGCCATGAAAGCATTCGACAATACGTTATGAGGAGACCTGATAGCCATGTTTAGATATGTGAAAGAATGTCATAAGGAAGAGGGAGCAGGCTTGTGTTCTGCTGCCCTGGAGACTAGGACTCAGAGCAATGGGTTCAAATTGCAGGAAAGGAGATTCCACCTGAACATTAGAAAGAACTTCCTGACCTTATGAGCTGTTCAACTGCTTTGAGTCTCCTTCGGGAGAGATAAAGTGGAGGTATAAATATAAATATAATGTCAACAACAACATCAACAACAACAACAACAGAACTCTGCCTCAGAGTGTAGTGGAAGCTCCTTCCTTTGAGTCCGTTAAACAAAGGCTGGATGGCCATCTGTCAAGGGTGCTTTGAAAGTGCTTTCCTGCATGGCGGGGGGGGGGGGGKCAAACTAAAGGCCTGTGTGGTCTCCTCCAACTCTATTATTTTATGATTCCACCATTCTGTTGTCCCACTTTTTCAGCTTCTCAAAAACTTTGTCTTCAGCTTAACCTCAATTTCTGTAAACTGAATGCAAAGTGCAAAAGCAAGAGGAGGAAAAACTAGGGAGCAGAAACTTTCCCTTTCCCTATAGATTCAGGCAAATGCAGCTTCTCCCAGCTTGACTGTTCTGTGAAAATTAGTTATTTGCCTTCAGTTTTGGAAAAGACATAACCTTTTGGGAAAAGGATGACCTTTGAGATCATAACCTTTTGGAAAAACAGAATCTCCAAAGCCTTTTGGAAGCATGACCTTTTGGAGATTAATTGGCATTCACTACCATTTGGAAAAATAATACCCTTTTTGTAAAGTATGATCTTCCTGAGAGGAGCTAAAAACTTGTTTGAGTGAATCTTCTGTTTAGTGGTATTCCTCCACTAGTTTCATGCAAGGCAAATTTTCTCAGTTGTCAGACTGATATACCTGGTTATCTCTCTGAACTGTTAGCAACAAAGATGATGCATGAAATATATATTAGATCTTCAGAAGTGTTATTTCAGTTACCCAAAAACATCTACTCTCCCATAAAATATATTTGGTTTTAAATCATACGCTCAAGAGACAAAATAAGTAATATTAATTAAAAATAATCTAGTTGGTTTACTTAAAAACTTCATGTTTTCAGCATACAGGTACATCACTTATCAGTTGAAAGTTTAAACAGTAAGTTCTGTAAGGCATTCTGTTGCAATCTCTTCTCTGTCTTTTGTCTAATGCAGGCTGAACACAACCTAAACACAACACTGACTTGTAAACTGGAGTCTCAATCTGAATAGTCCCAGATCTGATCACATGGTCTGCAGTCCCTCCCACAGCCTCAAACAACATAAAGTTAAGGAAAACTGCATACCATTACACACATATACAATATAGTGAGCAATCTGAATTATATACATAACAAATAACTAGTATAGGAGGCTTGTAAAAGGTTGCTGTTTCCGACATTCAACTCATTTCCAATTATGGGTAATCCTAAAGTGAACCTGTCATGGGATTTTCTCCGCAGGGTTCACCCTTATAAAAGTATGAGTTGTCCAAGGCTTTCATGGCCAAAAGCAGACTATAAACATAGATTCAAACCATCAGACCAATAAAGCAGCATAGAGAGAGAGAGAGCAGAAAAGGGAATTGTCTGATTGGAGCCCACAGAACAGATGGTTTGGCAGTGGAAAAAGAACCTGCCTCCTATTTCCATGACAAGACTGGTGTACTTACATCGGAGCAGCTGACGGTGTCCAGAAAACCTTCAGGCTGAAGGGCAGCAGATGGTGGGTACAGGAGAACCAAGGCCAAAGCCAGTTTCCACATCTCTGGGATCCTTACAGATCTAAGTCGTGGCTCTACTCCATCATAAAACAGTCATTGCAATGACCAAAACACTTCCCTTTCCATCTCAGAAACTCTAGAGTAACTCAGAACCTGTCTGAAAAGCCCGGCTGGCAAGGAACTTGTATTATGTTTCCTTGTTTCGCTGCTCTGGGGAGCTGGGACCTTTCCAACAATCTCCCAAACTGAAGACTGTTCAGCTGGAAAGCTCAGCATCCAACCTGATGGAGGGACTACCAGATTTCTTTCCCAAAGGATAGGAAGAAGCCTTCTAAGATGGGAGCATTAAACAGAACTAACCATGTGCCAGCCTCTGCTCTTAGTCAATATTCCTCCACCCTTTTTGCTATTAGCAAAATGACTGCGTCAAAGAGGAGTAAAGGTAGAAGCGAGGAGGGCGTAGCAGGAACTGGAAGTTGGCCTTTGGAGGTGGAACTACCTGGGCCGGAGGCCAAAAATCCAGATTAAGGGAAGCCCACAAAGCAGACTACAATTCACTATTGGCAAGTTTAACTCCTGAAAATTTTCCTTAAGGCCAACTGAGAAAAATTGATTTTCACATCATTTCCCAGCACTGAGTGTTAGCAGAGGGCATTTGTTGTGCATTTACCATTTACAGGGCTTTGTCACTTGTTTACCTATTGCAACACTTCTACAGTTGTTAATATATTTATAGCTCAAGTGGACTCCGCCTCAAAACTTTCAAGTTTTGGTGACAGCCAAGTCAACATAAGGGACTAAGAAAAGTATTTTCGAAGATTTCATGGCCAGAATCACTGGTTTGTTGTAGGTTTTTCAGGCTGTATAGCCATGTTCTAGAAGCATTCTCTCCTGACATTTTGCCTGCATCTATGACAGGTATCCTCAGAGATTGTGAGGTCCCAGTTTCCAACAGAGCTCACAACTGCTGAGCATGCCTTCCATAGATGTGGGTGAAACATCAGGAGAGAATGCTTCTAGAACATGGCCATACGGCCTGAAAAACCTACAACGACTAAGGAAAGGTTGCAAGAATCTAGTGTCAAAATACAGGTGACTTCGCTCAGAAATGATCTCTTGAAGGAGATTACACAGTCAATGATTGATCAAAATGTAGCAGTGGGCAACCCTGGGGAAAAAATATACATTTATTAATATATATATTTTAAGTACACTTTTTAATTTTTTAACAACTATATTATGGAAATTACATTTTTAATCAAGTTTAAATACAAATCATTGGTTTGATTGCTTCCCCTCCCTCCCCCTCGCAAAATCTACACACACGTTCATGCCTCTTCGAATTCCACAGCACCGCTGGTCACAACTGACTTCCAGTTAGAGCACTCAAGAGCAAGGGCTTCCCAGTTCTCGATTTCTATGCCACAGTTTTTAAGGTTGGCTTTGAGCCCATCTTTAAATCTCTTTTCCTGCCCACCAACATTCCATTTCCCGTTCTTGAGTTCGGAATAGAGAAACCGCTTTGGGAGACGGTGGTCAGGCATTCAGACAATGTGGCCAGTGCAGCGGAGTTGATGGTGGAGGAGCATTGCTTCAACACTGGTGGTCTTTGCTTCCTCCAGCACACTGACATTTGTCCGCCTGTCTTCCCAAGAGATTTGCAGGATTTTTCAGAGGCAATGCTGATGGAATCACCACAACAAGGTGACAATCCATTGAGGGGGTTTCACTTCCCATCCTTCCCTTAATGGGAACAGGAATGTATTGAGTGTTTTGAAGTTTTTAATCCAGAAGTTAACATACCACAATGAAAGTGTTATTAAACTGTTTTTCTGGAGATTCGCCCTTCAAAACAAATCCAAAAAGGAAATTTTGACTTTGTCATTTTATATAAGGGACACATTTTTTGTATATAATGGCATTTGAGCATAAAGCGGATCCTGGTACCAAATCCCAGCAAAGATTAAGGGCTCAATGTATATATTACTTCAATGCTAGGGAAGCGTGTTTTAATGTAACCAGTTCTTGGAGAAAATTACTGGAGGCAGGGGGAGTACCATTGTTATCATGTCCCATTTGTGAATTTGGCTGGCCACAGTATAAATATAATGCTGGGGAAAATGGTGTGATTCAGCATGCCTCTTCTCATGAAATTTGGTTAATGATATTCTAATTTGAACTTGAACTCCACAACCCCACATTGAGGTGGTTTTATGGAAATATTTCCGGTTTCCTCAGATGCTACCTTGTGCAATCTTGTAGCAGAGTAGTATACTTTTTTTTTCAATGTGTTAACAGAAGATTTTTCTGAACAAATTGTGCTTTCTTTTCAAAACCAGAGGTAGAAAACTGTCATCTTAAGGTGTTTTGCTCCTACACTTAAAGCAAGCAGTGGTTATGGGGGGGGGGGGGAGGGGGTCAACTGTAGCCATCATGATGGGTTGTAGCCCATCGAAGCCCTATGAATATGTTGAATTTTAAGGCCAATTCCACAGGCATTGAAGAAGAGGGGCTGACCAAGGGCAAGATGGATGGATGGCATCCTTGAAGTGACTGGACTGACCTTGAAGGAGCTGGGGGTGGTGACGGCCAACAGGGAGCTCTGGCGTGGGCTGGTCCATGAGGTCACGAAGAGTCGGAGATGACTGAACGAATGAACACACCTTCAGAAAGAACAATAGAAGTGCCTCTAGGATTTTTTTTTTAAGGGGAGATATTTTCAAGCTATAGGTTGTGTTGTTGAAGGCCAGAATCACTGGGTTGCTGTGGGTTTTCCGGGCTGTATGGCCATGTTCCAAAAGCATTTTCGCCCACTTGATGAACCAACCAGGCTCTTCATTATGAAACAATTCCTGACAACAGAAGGCTTTCCACAACATTTACACAGATTCTTCTATTACTCACTAGTTATAGATTCAAAGTCAGAAGCAACAGAGAACAACCATGCTCCATCTTCTGGTGGAAGTCTTTCCCATATTTTAAGTTTGGGAACAGCATATTATTGATATTTTAAGATTGGGCACAGTATATTAGCCTGGACACAGCACATTATTTGAGAACACAGAAATATTGGACCACTCTAACAACCACCATGTCAGACTACACAGAGAAGCCATTGAAATCCACAAGCATGTGGACAATTTCAACAGAAAGGAGGAAACCATGAACTGGCTTCCAATATTAAAAAAAACTCTAAAATCAGGACAGTAAGAAAAGAACAACACTCAAAAACAGGGGAATTCCAAACAAGAAACAAACAAGGCCAACTCCCAACAAAGGATTCCCCCAGGCAGAAAGCAGCCAGATCTTGACACTGCAAGGCCATTCAATGCTAATCAAGGTGGCCAATCGCAACATTAGCACTTGCATCCAACAGACAAGACTTCTTTCTTCCACCCTGGACTTTCCACAGATATATAAACCCCACTTGCCCAGTTTACAACAGACCTCACAGCCTCTCAGGATGTGGGAGGGAATGCTACTAGTACATGGCCATATGGCCTGGAAAACTCACAGCAACCCAAACTATAAATTGTTTAATTTGTTGATGCAAAATGTATGGAAATGTGGACTAGATTGCTGTATGGTTTTCATTTTATTTCATAATTTTTGTCCACACAAACATCAACTTGACCCTCCCTTTAGAATGTTATTGACATAGGTAATCTGCATTTGTTATTATAGAATAATTTAACTATAGAGTTAAAAATGGTGCCAATGAACAAATTCATAGCTTAACTATGACAAATGGGCATCCAACCTGTTATTTAAAAAAAAACGAAAGAAGGAGCCCAACAAACTTTGAAATTCTCCATTCCCATGTGTGCCACTGTCCAAGGTACTCTATTTGCTTATCAGAAAGTATACTATTGAACCTCCTTTCATGTTTTCTGAATTCGTTGTTTCGAATTCTGCTCTCTGAAGCAGCCAAAAATAAACCTTCCATCTGGCAACCCTTCAAATATTTTAAGATATTCTCATGCTACCTCTCAGTCTTCTCTTCTTACATCTTGTACGATGACAGAAATTTAGATGATGTTGTTGGATGCTGTTGCACGGATTGTGAGTGATATTGAATTATGATTAGGGCAATGTTATTCAGTCACTGGACAGGACAGAACTATGGAGGAGTCCCTATAGGATAGTTGGGTTGGATAGTAGGGTTGGTAAATGTGAATAAGCAGAATAAGCTAAAGCTTTACCACAGTATTTAAACCAAGATATATCCTGCAGTATAATAAAATGTCACTCAGGTTTGCGAAACAAGTAACAGTATCTTTACTTTAGTTCAAAACAATATATACATCAGTCTCTTTGAATTCAGGCAGAGATCAGAGGAATAAAATAGTCCTTTTAGATGGCCTAAAACTGCCTCGAATCACCAGAAGGCTGAGAAGGGAGGTATACAAATACAGTACACAAACAAATAAATAAAAAATAAATAAATTTAAAATAAGCCTTGTGCCTTAAAATAATTGGCAGCTAGCACTATCTCTTCACTGTCCAAAGTGAGAAAAATGGCAGAATGACAGTTAGAACCATTGGTCTCAGCAGCTAACCAAAGGCAGCAGCCAATCAGAACCCTGGCTCCTGGCATGCCCAGCCAATCATCTGCTAACCCATTACATAATGGCATCTCTTTTCAAATCCTAATAGACAGAAGTATGGAGAAGTCCCTATAGCAGGCATGGCTAAACTTGGGCCCTCCAGGTGTTTTGGATTTCAATTCCCGCAATTCCTAACAGCCGGTTTAGCTAAGGAACCACTTCACCTCTTTGTTGGTTTAACTTTCAAATAGATCTTTAGAGTTACAGAGTGTATGACTTTATTAAATGACAGCGGAGGGATAGTACATAGTCCAGATGCAGCCATGTGATGTTCTTTCTTTTCTATTGTAGACACTGATGTCGCATTTTAAAGGGGAGGAGACTACATTTATGGACTACAGGAAGTACCGTGACTGGGCTTTGAAGTCATAACTGTAACTGATTACAGACCTAAAGTAATTTCAGAGCTCTATCACTTCAAAAGCCCATCTTCATGATCAGTTCACTTGGCAATGCTGCCCAGGGTGAGTCTGTTTATTTATATAAAGCTCAACTAATTTATAACTTAGCTCATATGGTAAAAGATAAGAGTTTATTAACTCAGCATTCAGGAGAGCTGTTTCCAACATCCGGCATGCTATTCATGCTTATTAAAGGAGAGTAATAAATACCATTTTAATCAAAAGACATGCTATGGAAAAAAGAGTCAGCCTCCAATAATAAAAGGATAGTCTTCGGCACCATCTGTTCAAGTCACCGCTCCCAGGCTGGTCTCAACTACAGCCTTCCTCACTATGAGAAATCACTTGCATATAGTAAAGAGAGACCTCAGGGTGCAGATACATCAGGCATGGGCAGATACATCAGGCATGGGCAAAC